TTCAATTTCTTCAATTGCATCTCTTTTTGAGCCCACTTTGTTGTTTGTCAGGACATTTTAAATTCTAATACTATCCTCCAGTTTACTTGTAGCCCTCCCAGTTTCATGTCATCTCAAAGCTAGCAAACATGTTTTTCAGTTACCTAGATCACCATGATTAATTTAGTAGTACAGTAAGAATTGTAAGTATCATGGAGGGAAGAGGTGACAGGAGTTCTTTAGATTCAATGTATTCAATTAAATGGATACTATTTACAAGAGGAAAAAGCTCCACTTAGGTCTCTTTTGCTCTTTCAATTAAAATACTGTTTTATTTTAGAGCATAAAATTAATGGCATTGGGTTTTTAAGATTAAAGGTCTTAAAGTAGTATTAACATATTTTGCAAACTACAGCAAGTATCACAGTAACCTATACTTTGGTCAAAGTTGCTTGCCACTGTTTTAATTTTGGGACAGATTTTATTTAAAGTTTAATTTATTAAAATTATTTTCAGCAAAGAAATGGAAATATGCCAATGCAATTTGCTCCTATCACAAAGTTGTAAGGCGTTGTCAAAGACTGAGCAAGCTATTATACAGAAAGGACTAGATGAGCTTGATGACTGGTGTTAGTGGAACAAGATGAAATTCAGAACTATAAATGAAAAGTCATGCAATTAGGGACAATCTAATATCGTACAGGGACACACAGCTGGAGAGTAAAACGATCACAGAACCACAGAGAATGATGGCCAGTTGCCAGTTGCACATTTTAATGCTTTGCTTTGCCATTGAACAGTTTTTTACACATTTCTGAGGAAAAAACTGGTAATCTGTTTTCCTTCTAATTTTATTAATCAGGATTGTCTGTAAATGAAGGCTCTCACCAGGAAAAGATTTGGAGGTTTCTCTTGGCTCTATTCTGTCAAAAATCATTCACCCTGATGTAGAGTTTCTTTGCATATGACACTGAACACTTCTTCATCTCTACCCTCTCAGTGGGCCTTGTGTTTCACCAGATGAGTAAATGACAAGGTCCATTTCAAGCTTTCACACATGCCACAGTAGAGGGAAGATGGATACCGTCAGTGATAAAATTGTTCATAAAATGTACCCATGGTTGTAGGTGGGAAGCTAGACAGCAGTTGGAATGACTTATTACCAGAATTGCTATTCTTATTTCATGTTTATGTTTTAGGCAATTTTTTTACCATGTTCGCACAATAGTTCTTAAACATAGGCTTTGTTGGATTGGGTTTTCATTGATATTTTCTATTTGATTTAATAATTTTCCCTTTTATCACTAATAATTTTATCTGTTAAATTTACTATAGCTATGTGTAATATCTAATATATTTTAAGGATTGTTACAAGCTTCTCTAGATGTATTACTGTTGTCTCTTCTTTAGAAGTATGTATATTTTTCTTTTAGACTGCAAAGCTGATATTGCAGTTCCTGTGTAGTCTGTATCTCCAAAATATTTGTTCATTTTTTCTTAGAGCCTAATAAGACTGTAGACCCAAGCCTTTAAGGCAATGGGATACAATGTCCCCTGGCTATTTCCTTTTTGTCTTCTCTTTTTGCTGTCCTTCCTCACACTGTGCTTGTAGATTGTATAGCACTGGTGGAATCAAAATGAGACCTCTGGTAATTTCAGGCCCTTAAAATAAGAAACAAATAATCAGATGCTTTCACTTAATTTACTATTAATGGAAGAACCAGGCACCTTTTCCATATTGTGTGAATTAGCCCAGCTTTTCAGGTACTTGGTTTACTGTAACTTTCATACATAAGCAGTTGCCTATACATACAAACAAATAATTAAAATGTTTTTGTAGTTAGAAGCTCTTCTACTCCTCCTGTGGATCTGTGCTGCCTCATAATCCTCTTATTCTGAGAGTTCAAAACAGCCACAAGTAAACTGTAGTCCTAATTAGAGACAGCCAGGAGTTTTCATCCCAAGCTTCTTTACCAAAAAATTGGTTTCATGGAATTATTTGTAAACTATTTGTTTATTTCTTTGAATCATCTGTGAAAATAGAAACCCCTATAGAATGAAACACTTTTCTAAAAACACTTGTAACATTATTTAATGTATTGTGTAATATTTAAATTAATCAAAACCAAATCAATACTTTTGATGTGGTTCAATTATAGTTCTCATTTGGCACATTTTGTCTTAGTTGCTGAAAATTTCAAAAATCTTATTTTGACCAAGTCAAACTCTTCATTCTGTCACCACGATTACAAAAGGAAAAAATTATCAATATTTTCTCCTCTCTTCACTGTCTGTTTTTCAAAGCCACAGTGATGTTTCTTCAGCCACTCTATTAATTCCTTCTCCAACATCTCTCATTTTAGATTGACCTTTTGCTTTTTATTAGTTTTCACACCTTTTTTCTTTGTCCTCTTTGTGGCTGAAGGAAAGGAGACAGCAGAGGGTAAATGACTGCCAGAAGGTCTGAACGTATGGATACAGCAATGTGTCTTGCTTGAAAAGTTTGGAGGAAGGAAGGAGTGTGAAATGTGTGAAAGAAGGAGGGAAGGGCAGAAGGTTGATGGTGAGGCAGGAGAGAGATAAAAACGTTTTATTGGTGCAGCAGGAGGAAAAAGTACAAAAATTGGTAGGCATGGAAAATACAGAGCAAGCAGAAGGGTGGAAAGAAGTAGGATTGGTGTTTTGGTGGAGTGAGGCCCAAAGGAGGTGTTTTACTCTCTGTGTCTTACTCACTGTAAGCCACTCTCTGTGATTTGCCACAGAGAGTGGCTTACAGTGCTCCCAACCACCTGCTGCAGCAGGGAGCAAGAATAGCTGACTTGTGTCCAGGATCTCTGCTGCGGGGAGCACTCAGGAGTGCCCTCCTTCCCTCCCTTTGCTGGCCGAACCGCATTCAGAAAGAATGCACAGTGAACATATTGTATGCATTTATTTTAGAATATTTGCGCTACCTGTAGTTTAAAATAATCCAGACTGCTGATAATACAGTTTCAGCAATTGCTTAGGTTATACTCTGCCTGTGTAACCTCCATTTTTTGATTTTTCTTACTTCGCTATCCCTTCTACTTTCTTTCTTTCACACTTTCACAGTTTTAACAGCTATGGTCACATCAGCAGTAGCTGTTATGTATTCAAAAGAATTTTTGAGAATCTTGAGACTTGACTGGTTATATAAAATCATAAATTTTAGTGCAAGAGTCTCAGTTTAAGTAAACGCAAGCATGCAAAATTTCTCTACCATTTCTAAGAATTTATGATATATATCAGTACCATCTACTGGCAATAAGAGTTACAGCACTTAGTAGGCTCACACAGGAAATGCCAGACTTTACTTCAATAACCAGGATCCTTCAGCAGGAAGTTAGGTGTGGTCTGTAAAGGGAGAATTAAAAAAAAAAAAAAAAAAAAAAAAAAAAAAAAAAAAAAAAAAAAAAAAAAAAAAAAAAAAAAAGCATGATGGAATTTTAACTGCAGTCTTCCCTGGTGCCATTCCAAACCCACATAACTGCAAGATTCTTCACTGGTAATGAATTTTTAATTGTTTCCTGCAGTATTAAAACAAAATTATGCTTTTTCTTTTTTTTTTTTTCCCCTTCTGTAATTAGAAATAAAATCTAACAGGATCCTGCTGTAGGACCACTTTCATTTTCCTAGTGAACCTTTCTGCTGCTGGTGGTGAGTGCGGCTTCCAGCAGCAGTTTGGTACAGACCGTCCATGACAGAATGCACCAGGTGCATTTGCCTGCAGTGGAAGAGCATGCTCACAGGGAGACCTGCAGGAGTTGGGATCTGTGTGGATTGTGTAGGTGTAAGTGGCTGTGTGCATATGGTTTAAAAGGAGGAGCAAGCATCATGTTGCAGCTTATTTAACAGCCTTCAAAAATATTAATTTGTTGCGGCTGTGCCGAGGTATGTGTGCTAAGTGAGACAGTAAAATAGGATCAGGCTGATTATATTCAAACTTTTGTAATCTGATTATTATTTCTGGGTATATTGTCTTACTCGGAATTTGTTATTTTATTGCATTTGCTATATTTTTAATATGCTTACTCAGAAGGATGCTTGAGAAAAATTCTTGTAGGCTGCAGCAGATAGCCTGTTTGCAATTTCAGATCAAAGTATTTGCATTGGGAATATTTTCCACTGTTCTTTTTAACTGAACTGCCTGCCTCTTCTTCATTAAGAAGAGATGACCCTGCTCTTGCTGGTGAAATTTGTGAAATATATATACAATTGATATGATATCAGATGTAAAAGATCCAAGTGTGGGATGTAATGATTAAGAATCAGTTTTGTTTAATTCAGCAATTCTTCCAGTGCACAGTGTGTTGCCAAGCAGGAGATCTGAATACAGGTGCTTATGCCTGAACCTTGTTTCCTGAGCTGGCAGTTCAGCAAAGGCAGCATATTTGTACTCAAAGAGAAGGAGCATCTTGTATTGTTTTCAACTGATCCTTCTGGCCTTACGCGGCAATAGTGGATTCTAAGAGTCATTTCTGGTCCATATAGGTAGAGGGAGGACTGGTCCAAGATGTAGCTTTCAGGGTAATAAGGAGCTACCTTGTCTGGAGTCTCACTCAACGCTGAACCAAATACTTCAGAACTGTTGATTCCTCACACTGAATGTAATAGAAAATATCTCCTACTTTATTCATGGGAATGGATTACCCTTGATAAAGGCAAAAGATGTTATTGTATTGTATGTGACTTCTTTTATCAGCCTGTAGAATTGACCATCTATTGGTGCAAGCACTAAGTGAATTTTAAACTAAATGCTTTAAGAATTGATACCTCTGAGACAACACTAAGAGGCAAGCTGCAAAGGAAAATGGTTTGTCTTGAAATAAAAACAAATTTAAAAATTCATTTCACAGCAGCCTCCTCTTGGATGATAATTACTGAATTTAACAAGATGTCCCCCACAAAATTCTGTTATGGTATATTACTTTGCATTGTTGGTAGCTGCTTTGTTCTAAATTTTTTCTGTGTTTCTTTTTATTTTTTTATTTTATTTTTTTTAGCACTTTTTTTATGAGAGAGGCTAAACAGTAATTAAGAGGTGCAGGATGAAAAGATGGCACAATCAGTGCTGGTACCACCAGGACCCGACAGCTTCCGCTACTTCACAAGAGAATCCCTTGCAGCTATTGAACAGCGTATCAATGAAGAGAAAGCTCAAAAATCCAAACAAGAACGCAAAGATGATGATGATGAAGATGGCCCGAAGCCAAACAGTGACTTGGAGGCAGGAAAGACACTGCCATTTATTTACGGTGACATACCTCCAGGAATGGTGTCCGAGCCCTTGGAAGACCTGGACCCATATTACATCAATAAAAAGGTGGGTGTAAAAGTATTTCCATCAGACTTTAAGAAAAATAAATAATAAACAACCCTTCAAAGACATAGTATTTCTATTATTTTTGATCTAGAGCTTCCATATAATAATTCCCCCAACAGCTGATGTGATTGGAAGAAATCTCCACTCTAAGAACAGAAATTAGTAATGCTTGTGGGACATTATAGATAAGAAGAGATGCACTTTTTTTTTTTTAATAGACCTGAGATTTTATTAAAGCCTGTAACTTTCAGTGTTTTACACACAAGTGAATTGAAGTAGCAGCACAGGATTTATCAGTAGAATAATTACTAATTGCTGTATTATAGTTGTGAAAGGAGCAGGTCTTCAATATAAAATCTGTCGCAAAGATAGCTACATATCCTCCTACTAGATTTCTTCACTGTTGTGAAAAGTTTAGGTTGCATTCTCATGTCACTGGGAAGGATGGGGAAGTATGTAAAGATAATTTCTCGGGATATGATGATCATCCTGATCCATTTTTACTCTGTAGAGGCATCATATATCCAACTTAGTCTGGGTGAAAAAATTTTCTTATCCAGTTCTGTTTTGTACTAGGATTGTTTTCAAAGAGGAGGTGTTCAAAAGAGGGACATAAATAAAGTGGAGGTAGCAATTGCACTTGGAGTGTTGACAGAATGTTACATAATTAAAAAATTATTTTTAGGGAGATGTTACTTAAAAAAAAAAGCAACAAAACAACAACAATCATCATATTTGCTTTGATTTAAAGTAACAACAACTGCTGTGGCCAGCACAAAAGTGCTGAACTTTAGACTAGTGTCCAGATGGCCTTGGGTTTCCTCCAGATTTTCAGTCCCTTTGATTTTGGCATCATACGTATTGCAGTCTCATTATTCTACTAGTAAAGAAGAAATTATTTTTTTCCCCCTGTTTTCATATTTTTTTCTCCTGCTTTTTTTTCTTTCCTGTGGAAACTAGCTAACTAACAAAAACAAGTGAATTAAAAAACAAAACCCATGAAAGTGAAGAAACTGCTTCAAAGAAAAATGAAGAAAGATTCCAAGAATTGTTATGATTCAAACTCAGACTAAGGGAAAAAATGCAGATGAAGATATTTCCTGCAGGAATTAGGGGTATGCCTCATTAGTAGTATGTTGAAATAATATCAATATAGGCATACCATGAATAACTAAGCAGAATAGCTCAAAAAATCGATTGTGCCTTAAATGTTCATTGCAGGATTTCTAAAATTGAATTCATATATTGAGAATCATGAGTTAAATCTGAAAACAAGGTTTTCAATAGTTATCATGTTTTGCTCCCTTTACTCAAGCGATTTACCCTGTTGAAGTCTGGAAGGCAAATAGAATTTGGGTCAAAGTACTGATTCCTTTCCTTAATTCTTTCCACATTCTGTAGTAGTAAAAATCTAAATTCAATGCCAGAAATCCTAAAGTTAGAGCATGTATCATCATGCTTTGGAAACTAGAAGAGTAATTCTGCAATTAAGTGTGGATGTGAAGTAAAATCCTGCTGAATTGCTTGTTCCTGGTTGAGAAATGCATAGCAGTTGTCATGATCTTTTCATGACAAGCATTGTGGTTTCCAGTAGGCAAAGCAAGAATTCAAGCTGTATGTCGCAATCATAATTTCTCCTATTATTTTTCTTACCATTCTTTGCATATTTTGAGCATAATTTTTGGGTCAGGCTCCATTTTCATTTTTAGCATAACTTGATGACTCAGCATAACACAAATGCTACTTCATCAGAGGTTTGGCAGAGTAAAGGGAACAGAAAACATAAGAGCTCTGGTTATTAGAAGTCCTGTTTTTATTAACTCCAGGACCAATAGGAAGAGAGTTGAAAAATCTTCATAGTAAAAGAGCGTGTTACAGACTTTAGTACAATAAATGATCAAAGTACAGCTTGAGAATCACTAAGTATGGGAGAACGCAAACATGTTCAGTTTGGAACCACTGATTTTTATAATTTAAAATTTATTATTTCAGGCAGAGAGAGGCATTGTGTTTTTAGCTGCTCTATTTGCCACACCTGCTCAGAAAGTGGAGCATAATCTTGACAAATGCTGCCCTCTAATTTCAGTTGAGTTAGATCATGGCTGCTGGCACTGTTCCAGGTCTGCACGGTTTATGTGCCCTTTGGGCTTCCTAGGACTGCCACAATGCTATCTAGATCCATTTCCTTTCAAAAGCATGAAAGTCATCCATGTGTAGAAAGAAGATATTATGGAAATAGACAGGACTTTCCCCAGATGTGTGGGAATCAACATAATTTAAAAAAAAAAAGTCCAGGTTTTATTCTTTATCACTTGGGTTTTAAAAGCACTGTTACATTTATAAAATGTTTTTTTATATGTTGGTAATATACATGAGTTATTGCTGAAACTGTGGAGAGAGTGAAAATACCTGGATACAGTGAATAGAGTGAATTCTGAATTAGGTGAAAGTAAAATATGACAAGGAAAACAGATTGGCAGGTACAGAACTATCACAAGCAATAGTTGAAAAGGGGAGTAATACATTGCTCTCAGAGTACAGCAAAAATTAGTGTTATGTTCAAAAATGGTTATTGAACCCTCTTGATACAGTACAAAAAGTATGCTAATTCTCCAAATATTGCCTACATTACTTTCATACTTGTCTCTGTTTACAAGCTAGCAATATCAAGATTACTTATAATTTCTTTATCAATGCATTTAAGTGTTCATTTAATTGTATATATAGTAATTTGGCTGGATGCTACGTGTGAACTGGACAAGGGAATTGTGTCAATGCAAATAGAGCATATTGAACAAATATGATTAATGATGAAATGAAAATGATTCAGGGTTTGTAACTTGGTATCTTCTAAATGCATGTTTTCATTCTCTTTTTCTTTTTCCAGACCTTTATAGTATTAAATAAAGGGAAGGCAATATTCCGATTCAGTGCCACCTCTGCCCTGTACATGTTAACTCCTTTCAATCCTCTTAGAAAAATAGCTATTAAGATTTTGGTACATTCATATCCTTTTCAAGTGGTTAGTCTAAAACTGTAATGAATGAGATGTTACTTAGTATTTAAATCATTCTCTGGCACATGTCCCAGGATCAATGTGATTGGTAGTGCTTTGTCCCTCTTCTCTCTACTATTTCTGTCTTCTGTTCTTTTTCTCATTCTCTTTTTCATTTCTGTTCATTGCTGGATCCTAATATAGCAAAACCAGAAGCCAGACAACCAGTCATCATCCTTTACAATTTCTGTATCTTCTTTCTTCCCCCACATAATTTTTCCGTCCCTCTTATTTTTTTCTGTAATCTTCACATCTTTTTTTCATCTTTCCCCTCCTCCACATTTTTCATAAACTGCAGATATATTGCTTGGAATACTTTCAGTTCTTCCCTAACACTGTATATTAAAATCAAATCTTTGATCCCAGATCTGTGCTTGCATGAGTATTTAGTGAAAATATGGTTTCATTATTCCTTTTCATTTTCTGATTCAGATAACACTTACAGAAAGATAGATTCATAACACAGCTTAGATTTTTTGTTTTGTTATTCGTTCTCAGTCTTGTATGTATCCCACCTGTCTGTTTAATTTCTTGATCATTATTGCATTATACACTTGTAAGCCTATTGATGTTTTAATTTCAGTCTTCAAGAAGGTCATGAGATTTCCAATTGCAGGTAGAGATTTGAAAAGCTAAATTATTATAATTACTTAACTATTATTTTGCCTTTTTCTGTGTTTTAATAGCAGACTATGGTAGGCATCCCACTGGTCTGATCCCAAATACCAACATGAGCCATGAAGTCATTGACTTCAGAAAGCAAGCTTACTTAATAAGGAAAGAATACAAATGTTTGCACACTTGTATTTACAGAAGTCTAACATAAGCACACTGAAAGTAGCTTTGTGTTAGCATTGCATATAGGTATCCTAAGATTATGTAGACTAAATTTTGAAAGGACTTTTTTCCGTCTTGGTATACTGGAAGACTGACAATTACAGTGGTTGGTATCTGTTAGACATTGTTATCAATGCCTAGCCTACAAATGACTTCCAAAACAATCATGATACTACATAGCCTATTTTCAATTTTTTTGCTACAGGTGCCATTACAAATAATTATTTTTCAATTATATGACACTCTTTACCATATTCTGAAGCATTATTTTATTGAGTTATGGGGAATAATAGAAGACTGTGGCACTGAGGTGGTGGTGAAGGGCTAGTCACCAAAGTCAGAATTCTAAAACATGTTGTTTAAATTTATGGTAAGGTGTATTATAATTATTTTTCCACTAATGATAGCATAGTGAGGATCTGCAACTCCAAGTGGACATTTCATCAAAAAGGGTTTTGAAAGCCTATGTAAAGTACAGGCTGGTGAAACACTTGTAGCATGGGTTTTTAATATTAAAAATACATACATTTATTTCTCTTTTGCTCTGTTCATATGTGAATTCCATAATGGAAAGCTGGTTTCTCATAAAGGATTTAAAATATATTCATTGCGCAGAAAACCCAAAACCTGTTATATTGTTGAATATAATGCTACAGTTTTTTGACAGCTCAGAAGGTAGAGGTATCATTATCACTTAAAGATTTTTTTATTAGCATAGACATGCAAAGAAAAGTTTTCAAGGGGAACCTCACAGTACTTCTCACCCCATTGTATTTGGATTTCTATTTAGGAGCACCACAAGAACCTGCAGCTGTTCTCAAACTCGAGCTTTGTCCTCTCTGTAGCTTTAGGTGTTGGTGCCATCATGTGGGCGTTTCATGGTTTATCTGCATGGTTCTCATTTTGATGGTTGTGGTTTTTTTTGTATATTAGAAGAATGTCAGCAGTTCTGAGAAAAAAGGTTGTAGAGTCAGAGTGACATGGACCTGTTCTGGAATTCTATTTGGATTTATGTTTTTGAGAATCACGTGTGCCTTCCCCTCCCAAAAGCATCTATATTACGAAAGTCATATATGAAATAACAGCAAGAGAATACTTTTCTCACTAAGATTTCCCTATGTTCTCTCCTATTATGTGGCAGCTGGCTTTCAGTGTATCATAGTGATAAGGAAAAATGTTGATACATGCCCAATTTTATGATAAAACATTAAAGTGAAGAAAATGTATTTTTCATTTCTTTGCATGCATGAAGCAGTTCAGATTTTTCTAGATAATCTAAAAGAAATACTTTTTGTGTTATTCCATGAAATTAGAAGCTAATACTTCAAAGGGTGACATTTCTGTTCAATAAGAAAAAATATTTTAGACTTGGGGTGCTTTTTTAAAATACCTTTCAGATTTTCTAATTTTTAGTGTATGATTGTTTTCTTGTGGCTATAAAACAGGGAATGAAAGCTTTAACATATTCAGGGCTTTTCCCTGGCTATTAAAAGAGCAGTAGAGGAATAGATAGCTCCTGATAGTGAAAATCTACCAAAGCAGTGTGTTATTTGGTACTCTTTTTATGACATTTTCTGGCTTATGTTCCTTAACTCTTAGCCTACATTATTCAGCATGCTTATCATGTGCACTATTTTGACCAACTGCGTATTTATGACCATGAGTAACCCTCCAGACTGGACAAAGAATGTAGAGTAAGTTAAATGGATTTTCTCTGAAATAATATCCAATAATCAGAAATAAACTGCTGTAAATTATATTAGGATGGCTTCCCCTGGCAGCAGCTACCTTGATGGGATATCCTATCAACAGCTGTTCTGATGCTATTTCCTTTGCTGTAACATTAAATACATATAATTGTGTCATGACAAGTTCTTTAATGTCCTTCCTCTGTTTGCAGTACTAGAAGGAAAATGCAAGAAAAGCTATTCTTATGATCATACAGAAAAAGTGGATTATAAATATTTTTGACTGTGTTCTATATCACATCTGTGCAAGAATGCAGGGAAATTCAGTCTTTCATCTCTGTTGCAATAACTGTTACACATAAAGGAATCATCTTATGGATGGCTGTGTTGATCACAGTGCAGCTTTCTCTTACCAAAACCAATCTAACAGTGGAAAACTTGTATGCAGAATTAGCCATTAAAAAAGTATTGAAATGGTTAGTTAATCATTGGTGCAAAATGATGACTGCTTGGCTAATTGGTCCAATTAGCTTCGAAGTGTCGATACACAATGACAGTTCCAAACTGCAGGCCACAGTGTGAAACACAGTTCTTGGTGCTTCCTTTCTGCTGCTTCTTTCACATTCTCTACTGCTTGGGCTGATCCATACCTGTTTAATATCCAGAAATCAAAACACCATAGGGCTATTAAGGTTTCAACAAGACATTCTCATTTTGAGTTCAGTGTAAGTCTCTATGTATTGAGGATGCCTAGCATGTAGTAAATATTTATGATGAAAATTCATTGCTTGAATATTTCTTCATGTCTGTATATTGTGCCAGTTAGAGTTACAATGGATGTCCTCATCTGTGGAGTAAAGTTCTGTAGGAAATAAATTTTTTAGTAATTGAATGGAAAAAATTTCATATTGGAAAATTGTTTTCAGGCTAGCTCAGTTAGAGTAAGCTTTTTGAGCAGTTTAATTTGAATTCCTTTTCATTACAGATATAAATTAAATTAAATTTCAGGATGACATCACTTGGACACAGAAGATTGAAATTACTCAGAATGCTAGGATTAAATTACATTTCAACCACATTTTTTAGTCAAAATTTTATTGGCATTCATAAATAATTTTGGTTGTTCTTGCACTTGTTTGATTCCAGTACTACATCTCTCTTGCTGAAAGTAAAGTACTGGATATATCTACTCCATAGCACAGTTACAGAGCAATGAAGACATGAGGGTTGGCACTTGCCAACTTTTGGGAGTAAGCAACATTTCAGCATTAAAAAAAAAATGAAGAAAGGAATTTTTAGCCTGAAAGTAACTTCTAAAATCCTAACATAATACATCTCTTTGTTTCATTATAACATGGATTCAGACTGGTCATAAACATGCACCAATGAAGTAACTGGGAATTTTGCATCTGTCTTATTGCATAGAATGTAGAAGTTAGATTTAAGATGTGGGTTATCAGACTTTTAATCCTAATTTAATTCCTCTTTTCTTATGGTATAAATTATGCAGATGTTAAAGTTGGTTGTAACTGCCATTATTTCTTATGCTACTTAATGAGAAGAAAATGAGAATAACACAACTAGAGAGAATAAACTGCAAAAATAACATGATCTATAAACTCTGTCTTGCATATTTTCCTCAGATACACATTCACTGGAATTTATACCTTTGAATCACTTATTAAAATTCTTGCAAGGGGCTTCTGTTTAGAAGATTTTACGTTTCTCCGTGACCCATGGAATTGGCTAGATTTCACTGTCATTACATTTGCGTAAGTCTTCTACTTATTTTTTTAATTAAGAATTCTTTCTGGTAGCATGAGATTAGTGACTAAAAATTGCCTCATATCTTGTCAGCCAGAATATTTGGAGCCTGGACTTCCTGCAGTTTCAATATGTTTCTTCTACTCTTTTACACATTTTAGTATTTCTAGCCAAGCATGTGCTGCGGAGGCCAGCATGGTGTGCCAGCCCATTAGGATTGTGAATGCCGTCACCCTGAACTGTTCATATCCTGTCTCCTTTCTGCATACCAGAATTAAAGGAATCCTTTTGACTTCCTGCTAATAGCTGACCAGATTAGTTTTCAAACATCGAGTCAGTGTGATTTATTATGATAAAACTTAATTTAATTTTATGGCCAGAAGTATATTTATAACACAGGCAAAATATGGTGAACGGTGAAAAGGTCTTGCTCAAAGACCCAAGCAAATAGAATAAAATCTGCCTCAATTCTGAGTAATTGTGATTTAATCCTACAGGTATGTAACAGAATTTGTAAACCTAGGCAATGTTTCAGCTCTTCGAACTTTCAGAGTATTGAGAGCTTTGAAAACTATTTCTGTAATTCCAGGTAAGAAGTAGTTGGTGTCAGGTGTTAGGCCCCTCGTATCTCCAACTGTTATTTGTGTGCTGTCATTGTGTTTGTGTGTGAACTCCCCTATTACAGATATGTGACAGAGTTTGTGGACCTGGGCAATGTCTCAGCGTTGAGAACATTCAGAGTTCTCCGAGCTTTGAAAACAATATCAGTCATTCCAGGTGAGAGCGAGGTTAAACACCGAGGCTGACTTTTGTTCTACAAAGGCTGTACTCACATTTTCAATCATAAGCCTTGTTTGCTACACATTGTCAACAAACCAAAAAAGCAGGAATCAAGATGTAATTTATTTAAATTGATTCATGCTTGTATTAATTGTATTTTCTTCTCAAAAAAAAAATCAGCCTTTGAGTTTAACAAATTCTTGCATGAGATATTTGCAGTAAACAGCCTATGTGATTTGCATCTTATGACATCAAGCTTTCCTTTATATGTTTTAAATATAAGTTAATTTTAAGCTTTCATACTGATGCAAATTTTCTCATTTATTGGAGGCACTCGATATAGCAACTTAATTCAGTTTTAAGTTATGTCAAAAAAAAAAAAACAAACTCTAAAGGATAGCATGGGCCATGCATGGGGTATTGTTCCAAAGATGTCTTTCTTCTCCAAACCATCACCCCTCATATATTGTAACAAGATTATTATGGTATCATTTCAATGTGCACATATAATGTCTTTACAATGGGGTTACATTAATATAGAATACATTGCAAAAGTTCATAAAAGAAAGGTTTGGGCAAGAAGCATCAGCAAAAGCAAACAATGCTATTTTATGTAGGGTTGAGATATAGCATGAATAATATAATCACTTGTTTTGGCAAAAACAATGTGTTTGGTATTATCTATTTTTGTTTTTTTACACTATGAAATAAGTATAAATTTACATATTCTCATTCATCTTTCCAAATAATAGAGCTTTTCTTTAAAATTATTGTGTCACAAATTACTAGTCTTTTTGCATGATATCTTTATCAGGAAAAAAGTCACATGATTTTTTGTGAGCGTTTATTATTTATTTAACATCATAATAAAAATCTTTTCTCTTTGCAGGCCTGAAGACCATTGTAGGAGCCCTGATTCAGTCTGTGAAGAAGCTCTCAGATGTGATGATCCTGACTGTGTTTTGTCTGAGTGTATTTGCGCTGATAGGGCTGCAGCTGTTCATGGGCAACCTAAGGAATAAATGCCTGCAGTGGCCTCCAGACAATTCTACTTTTGAAACAACTGTTATTTCCATCTTTAATAGCTCTATAGGTGAAAATGGAACATTTATTAATGCCACAATGACAATATTTAACTGGGATGAATACATCGAAGACAAAAGTAAGAGTTAATTATATTATCTACTGCATTGATATTCTAGTATTGATTTAATCAGATTTGAGAACATCAGTATCTTTCTCTTGCCTTTAAAAGTGTGTAATATGGCCAAGAGACATAAAAGCACTCATTTCTCTCTAATAAATAAAAGCATAGTCATTATATAATTTAACATTCATAACATTATATTGGGTAGCAAAATATCTTTTTCTTTCACTGAATACGACTTTTAGATTAAAATCACATTGCAGCATAAACCAGAAATTTCCATGCTAGCTTCAAGCCTCTTGAAACAGTGTGATCTGAAATGTAACAGCTAGGTTAGTGCAAGGTAGTGCCCAGTCTCATAAGCCCACATGTGAACATCAGCTAGCCCAGGAATCCTGCCAGAGCACGTAAATGTAGAATTAAAGGAATTGTTGTTCCTTCTGGAGTTGGGTGAGTGGCTTTGCCCCACACGCCCTTGCACAGCATAGACATTCCTTTAAGAGAATGCCAGTGATTTACCCCAAGATTCTTACTTGCAAAATAAGAACTAGATTCCATATTGCTGTCTTTTAAGTTGTTTCTTCTCTTTGGAAAATCAAGAAATGAGCACTTTTTTCTCTTTTGTACCTGTAGTGTACATAATACACTATTTCCACCATTTTAGGTAGTTAATGTTACTACTGTGTTAACAAAACATCTTTAAAAATTCAGATAGAACGACTCTGAACATATCTATATTAGATTGCTATTCTGTCTTTCATGTTGTTAATCTCTCCCATTTTTCTGTTCAGCCTCTTCTATTTATTTTAGAGTTTTTAGTATATTTAATGTATTCATAATTAGGTGTTACAGGTTTTTAATAAAGTCTGTATGTCTATTTTAACTGGTGACTATATCAATGAAAGTTAGGGAACCTCAGTTAAGAACTAAATGCTTTTAGATCCAAGTCTTATTGCCTCATAATCTTTTAATATACTTATCATCTCAGCATGCTTGAAATATACAAATGTCATGCAGAAATTTTGGATGATAACCTATTCTTAAAGCCATCTGAAGAACAGATTCCATTCCATTCCCCTTTAGTTGTTTCTGGTACTATGTCACACAAAGAGAAAGGGTTTTTTTTCTAAATATCTGACCTACATTTTCCTAATTTCTGATTGACTATATTACTACATCTGCTCTGGACTAAGATAATCATAGACTACTTTATATTAGTCTTTATACAGTTTAAAAACTCTTATTCTCTGCATTTGTGGTCTTTCCTAAGGCAAGTAATCCTATTTGCTGTTTTGCATTTTCTATACCTATTTTCATTTTTTATTCTTTTTTTCAATCTTTCCAGTTTGTCTGGGGGTTTTTTTGTCTTATTGTTTTTATTTTTGTTTACATGGTTTTTTTTCTTTTTATGAGATCCTTAAATTGGGTGCTTACTCCTCTAGCAATTACTTCTGATTTTTGTCTTTACCTCATGCCACCATGCAACATTCCTATTAGCACATTTCAAAATTAAGTCATTTTTATATCAGCACTGTATTTGTTGATTCACAAACAGTTTGTATTTTGTGACAGTTACTGCATCTTTTTGTACAGTGGTGGCTGCAGCTACATCCTGATATTTTGTATTTACCTATTTGATTTTGCCCTGCCAAGTGTAGCATTTTCCACTTCTCTCTATTGGAATAAATCCAATTGCTTTGGGACAAACTTGTCAATTTGTAAAGGTCATTTTAAATTTCAAATACCTTTTCTCCTAGCCTTATGTCTTCAGAATACTTGATGCATTATTTTTCTATTGTGTCTTGAGTTGGTAATGAAACTTATTAGAAAACCATGTCTGGCATAGATGCCTGGGAGATCTTCTGAGAGGTTCCTTAATGAATTGACATTGTATCACTGGCAATAGCTCTCTAAGAACTTTTTTCAATTGTTTTGTGATATTTCCAGTTAGAACACATTTCCTTTATTTGTATCTGGAAGTGTTATGTAGGACTTGTACCCATGACTGTTCTGTTATAAAGCTGGCAGGAGACAGGAATAGTTTTGTATGTGGCATATTTTCTACAAACTCATATTTACTGTTTTTATTGATTTAGCATTATTATTTTTGTATTAAAAGAATCTTGTTTGTTTTCCAAAGAAGTGGACTGAAAGTGGAGCTGTGCTACAAAAGAATGTGGATTAGGCCCACAGAGGGTTTTGTAAGTTCTGCTTGGAGCCTGTGGGCAGGCATTTTTAAACTTCTTTTTAAGTAGGGGTCACTCACAGGCTGTGACTCTGTGATTACCAGAATGTCTGAAAATGCATTGATTTCTTATATGATATCTGGGACTAGAATTGCAGATATATAAATTATGGACATAATTTCTCTCTCTTTAAAATAAGCAGATTTTATGCTGCCTCTATTGTATACTGGTGGTGACAGAGTAGAAGCAGTCAGTAGGAACTGGTTGCAATTCCCTGCTTGCCTGTTTAGCATTAGCCCTCAGTTAGCTCATGCCAGCTAAGTTAGTCCATGCCAGCTGGCAGTGAATCTCACGGAACCATCTGCTTCCTGAGAACAGCCAGAACATACCTAGTTCTGGCAACTTTAGCTTAATGTGCCACCTGACTAAAAAATCTCCATTAGAGATTCCCATTTTTACCCTAAGAATCACAAACTAGGAATTGATGGCAAAATGTGTTTCCTTTTCTGCTACAAAGGAAGAAAAATAAAATAAAAAAGAAGAGCGTGTTGGGGGTATTTAGGCCTTCTGTCACTTTAAATTATTTTTTACCTCATCTTAATAGTTAGCCTAAATGTTCAAGTACATTCCTCTGCTACAGAATTTTGTGTATTAGTTTTGTGTAAGGTACAATAAACACCTGGTTTCTCCCTCAGCTGCTCAAATCAAGGTCCAATTAGAGATTTCTTGAACATGTTGTGTTATCACAGAATCAATGGGGGTGGAAAAGACTTTTGAGATCATCTAGCCCAACCTCTGACCTAACACCACCTAGTCAACTAGACCATGTCACTGAGTACCACATCCCGTCTTCTTAAACACCTCCAGGGATGGTGACTCCACCAACTCCCTGGGCAGCCCATTCCAGTGCCCAGCCACCCTTTCTGTGAAGAAATTGTTCCTTATGTCCAACCTAAACTTGCGCTGGCACAGCTTAAGGCTGTGCCCTCTCACCCTGTCACTGGGTGCCTGGGAGAGGAGACCGGCGCCCACCTGGGTACACCCTCCTTCTAGGGAGTTGTAGAGAGTGACAAGGGCCCCTGATCCTTCTGTGCTCAACACCCCCAGCTCCCTCAGCTGCGCCTCACAGCTCTTGTGCTCCACAACCTTCGCCAGCTTCAGTGCCCTTCTCTGGATCAGTTCCAGCACCTCAATGTCCTATCTAAACTGTTGCGCCCAGAACTGGACACAGTACTTGAGATGTGGCCTCACCAGTGCTGAGCACACAGAAGAAATGTCATCCCTAATAGTTCAGGTTTTTTAAAGGAATACTTGGATAAAATAATATGTAATTGATAATTATATATGAATAGTACTAAATGTTCTATCAAAAGGCACGAATGAGGTCACAGAATTGCTCTCATCCTTTGCTTCATTTTCCTGGTGTTTTTTTATTTGCTAGCATACACAATTTGATATTCCCCTTGTATCTTATAATTTGGTTAGGTTGCCAAGAATTAACTGCATAACTAACTTTTTGTTTTCTAAAGAAAGGCTAACTTGAAGATTCTGTAGAAAGTAATTTTCCTGATAAAACAATACTTTCCATGCTTTTTTCATTCCTAACCACTATATATTGCAGTTGAACAGTTTGTTAGCTCTGCTAGTTTCTTTCACGTGTAAAAGTCTATATGATTGCTCAATTTTCATTAGGCATAAATATTATATTTCTCATCACCTTTTTGATTTTTTTAAAAGGTCATTTCTACTTCTTGGAAGGACAAAATGATGCACTGCTCTGTGGCAATAGCTCAGATGCAGGGTAAGAAAATGATCATCATTTTTCATTATGCATCAAAGACAAATAATAAGCTACTTAGAATAGCTCAGGTAGTCAACTTTAATATCAAGTGTAGAGTTGCAAATTATCAATGTTTTGCATTTGAAGCTATACCTAAATGCAACCATCTCTGTGATTTGAATTTACACAGGCACTTCCATCTGCCTCTTAGGCTACTTTTGTAAAGGTAATCACATGAATGATCTGTGCATAAGTGTTGCTGCCAACTTGCTAACAACTGTTTATCAGCCATGCTACTTGGTATTCTTTTGTCCTGATGGAGATGTGTTATGAAAACTTGTGGAGAAGGGTAGAATACTATTGGTTATATTATTAAAGTATTGAAATATGATTAGGAAGTAGAATTAAAAAGTGAAAATTTATAAGCTATATATTTTTATCTTAGGTATGTAGAATGACGTTTTACTTGTTCATAATTTCATTAGCATCTGGTACTCCTGAACAATTTTGTTTTACTGCAGCATATCGTAATATAGAGTAGTTGTTAAAAATAGCATTTCCTCTTCTTTTGTAGTCAATGCCCAGAAGGATATATATGTGTGAAAGCTGGTAGAAACCCCAACTATGGCTACACAAGTTTTGATACATTCAGTTGGGCATTCTTGTCACTGTTTCGATTGATGACTCAGGACTTTTGGGAGAATCTTTACCAGCTGGTGAGGACTTATTAAAATAAACAGCACCATCACCAATACCATTACTACATAGTATTTGCATAGTTATTTTCATTCACTTGTCCCTAAGGCCTTTGGAACAGAAATTGTCTTTAATTTCATATATGTAAACTGTTGTCTAAAACAATAAGGCCCTTATTCACGATTTAGGTTCCGATGTGCTTCTTAAATACATTATAGGAAATAGCTGTTATTTTATGAGGATGGTTAAGCATTATTGTTTTTTTTTACCTAAATGAATACATGAATTTAAGTTGTCAAAGTTTCTTACCCATGCATGATGTAAAGAGATGCTATGTTTAATTGATTTGCAGTCTAGTAAAAATTTGTTTTGTTTGAAAAAGTTGCACCTTGTCCCTGAACTACAAATAGCCTTACTTGAAGGACTATAATTTTCTCCACTGTAACATTTTGTATAATGCACTATTTTTGTGGCAGTGTAGTTTGAGACTGATGAGACAGGAAGGTAAGATGCTGATCAGTGGCCCCACCTACTGTTAAATTTAAAGGCAGTAATGTAGATGTATAGATTCTTACTCGTATAAGTTCTGAGCTATTCAGAACTGGATTTACCTTGACAATTGTAGACACAAAACTTTTTCATATGTATCTAGGATATAATGTTATTTCTATAAGGAAAAATTAACTGAATAATCTTGTGCTAACATAAATCAATCTTATATATCTAAAGTATAACATAGAGATTAACTTATTATACAACAATAGTTAAAGTCTTTTTAAAGAGTGTATTATCGCTTTTTCTCCAGACACTGCGTGCTGCTGGGAAGACATACATGATATTTTTTGTTTTGGTCATTTTCCTGGGTTCTTTCTACCTAATCAACTTGATCTTGGCTGTGGTTGCCATGGCCTATGAAGAACAGAATCAAGCAACAATGGAAGAAGCAGAGCAGAAAGAGGCAGAATTTCAGCAAATGCTGGAACAACTTAAAAAGCAACAGGAAGAAGCTCAGGTATCCCTGTAAAGTAAAATTTCCTCAGTCCATGCATGACTGTTAACATGGGCTTTAGGTCCGCATATGAGAAAACTTTTATTCCCCTACTTCTAACAATATATTACTTTGCCTCATCAATTTCTTCATATTGTAAACAATCTCTGATGTTTTCCATTGCGCTGGTTTTGCTGGTTTGATTGAACCTGTTAATTTTGTGACAAAAAATAATAACCAAAAAGCTAAAGCACTGGGTTTTCAAATTGGAGATGGAAATTAACTTTTTATTGGAGCACTTAAAAAGTTGTCCAGATTTCTTGTGGAGATAATCAAAAGCCATCTGGATATGGTCCTTGGGCAACCTGCTTTAGGTGACCCTGTCTGCTGGAGAGGTGGACATGATGACCTCCAGAGGTTCCTTTGCAACCTCAACCATTCTGTGATTGTCTGAAATGGAGGTGGAGATGTGGAAAAAAAATCCAAAGAGTAATTGTGCTTATATAAGTAACAGAAGTAAAACTATTGTAGGTGATGGCGCTTCAGCAATATGAGGTTTTTTTTCTACTCCCTTCAGCAATATTTGGCTTTTTTCTACTCCCTGCCCATCTCTCACAGCAGAAAGACATAGTTAAAGAGAGTTGGGAAAAGTGGAGAAACCGAAGAAAACACTTCTTTTATACAAATGTAATGATTACATGCTGCTTTGAAATTACATTTCATTTTTTGAAGGCTCTCAAATCTTTAATAGAAAAATTTATATGTCTTCTTGGCATGTGGCCTCATAGGGCAGAAGTTGAACTATGTCTTCCATATAGGCACATGACTAAAGGCAGCAGTCAGCGTTTTATGTTTCATTGATCAATTGCTATGTGTTGGGGGGAATTGGGAGATATTCTTTTTCCTGTTTTTTACCACACCTTGTAAATAAATGTTAATGAAATGCTCCACATGTGTTGAAAATCAAACAGCAACAAGTATGTAATAGTGGATAGTTTAACACAAATCTCTGATTGTTATTTGCAAAGCTGACATATCAGCATTACACAAGATCTTTAATAGACTAGGGAGTATTCAAAACCCATCAAAATGTTATAAGAAAGTGTTGGTTCCAGTTAACGGGGATTTTACCATTTTTTTGAGCCTTGATTCTTTATTTTTACATAGTGCTTCAGATGAAAAAATCATTGCAGCATATTGCTTCAATCTGAAACAGATGTTTTTTAACTTGTTTTTTTGACAGCACAGTTTTCCCTTGGGTTACTCTTGCTCTTGGTTTATGGAGCATTGGCAAATTACGGTTCCTGTAGTATTTCACAAATTACACTTCTTATGATATGCTGGGTTTGGTGAAGTGAAACACTGCTTTTATTTCAAAATAATAGTTTCTTTAAGAGTGGCAATAAATTTGAAATAGTGAGCAGGGTATGTATTTGTATAAATGCTGTAAATGGCACATGTGCTTGTGTGTATAGGCGGCGGCAGCAGCTGCAGCAGCTGACTCAAGAGATTATAGTGGAGTAGGTGGAATAGGTGGATTCTCCGAAAGTTCTTCTGAGGCATCAAAGCTGAGCTCAAAGAGTGCTAAAGAGAGAAGGAATAGAAGAAAGAAAAAAAAGCAGAAAGAACAGTCTGAAGGCGAGGAGAAGGATGGGGAAGAATTTCACAAATCGGAATCAGAGGACAGCATCAAAAAGAAAGGTTTCCGATTTTCCATTGAGGGGAATAGATTGACATATGAAAAGAGATTCTCTTCCCCACATCAGGTACCATAGTATTATTACCTCTTAAACACCTTTTTTGTCTACTCATCATATAAAGAAAGCACTGTATAGCAGTTTGGTTAATTCTTGCAAGATACCACAGATTCATTAATATCCTAAATCAAAGACTAACCAAGTAAAAACTTGCAGCCAAATATGAAACCAAGAATTTGAGAGATTTTGGTTTTACTCTGAATTCCTGTGTGAAAAATCAAAATTACATATACTAATTAATAGAAGCTATATTTCAAGCTTCTTAGTTAAAATGGACCTATCTCCCCACCAAGTTGGATGTATTCAGCATGATGAGTAGCTTCAAAACAGGGTGCATACATACAAAATGTGATGTTTCAAATGAGAAGAATATTAAAATTTGGGATGCTTAATAGAAATTAATGCTCATGTGAAATTTAAGAAATTAATTGATGTGAGACCATTAATTGTGTTATCTTAAAGAAGGTGGAAATGTGTGTGGCAAAGTGTCTCTGCATGTGTTCTCTTACATTGAAACATCAGTGACTCAGAATGCCATCTGCATCTCCCATCCAGACATTTATTTCATTTGATAGTTTTGTAATGTTATCTCCTACAGTTTTCAAAGCTCCTCTTCATTTGCCCACTTCTCACTCTCCCCTTAGCACTGCAAATCCAGATCTCACATACATTCTCTCCTTTTTCCACCCCTTTTTGTGCCTCTATATGCTTCTTCCTTTTATCTCCATCTTCTCGATTTTCCCTGGTCTTCATGACTTGCTTTCTCCCTCTTTTTAGTCATTATTACTAAACTCATTCCTGCCTTTTTAATCCTTTTCTATTTCTGTCTCTAGAAAGTTTGTTTCATCCCTTAATAGGTCATGAGTGTTCATACTCTCTTCATGTATTGTTTTCTCCAGCCTCCCATTCTCAAAGAAGCTCAGACCTCTTCAACCAGTATTTTCTTACTAAGGACTGTCATCCTTAGACCAGACTGTGGTGGGAATATAATGTTTCTGGCTTTCTATTTCTGCCAATCCTTCCACTCACTTCCTAATGTATTTCCTTTCTCAATAGTAATGTATCCTTCCCTTCCCCCCACCCCACCTCCTTGGTCTGCCACTGTTTTATGTTGTTAGCTGTCTAGCTAATCTCTGTGAGGCTTCATTGCTGAATTTAGTTCATGATTCATTCTGTTCCTTATACAAATTTCCACACATGTCAATTGACTTCAACTTCATGTTGAAGATCCATCTGATCCCCTAGGTGCATATTCTTGCCTATCTCTTCATTCAAACTGCAGCCTTATTCAACTGCAGCACAACTCATCCATCTTGTGCTGCAGGAATTAAGCATTTCTCATACAAATTCTTGTTCTAACATTTTCATCTCCAAGTTCATTTACAGTTGTTTGACTATGACAGTCTAGAAATCACCTCCCCTCTGGTTTTCCCACCCTAGTTCCTTTTCACTCTTGATTCTAACGACTAAAAAGAAATTCCACTCACCAGCTTTTAATACCATTTTCCTAGAAAAAACTCAGGCTTATATATAATCTTTGACTTTTTCCTTGGCATTTCATTTTCTTTCAATGTAAATGACCATTTTATTCCTCTTGAAATCTTATTCTTCCTAACATTCATAACTTTGTCTCCTCTCAATTCTCCTGGTTTAGTTGTGCTTTAGGAGATCCTTGTACCCCTTTGACAGTTTTCCAAAGGATTTCCACAAGGCCTTTTGCTAGATCACTTTTCTCTCTCTTTTCTTTCTTTTTTTTTTTTTTTAACCCTATTCTGGACCCATAACTGTGAATCATTTTTAACTTGGACCTCTTTACTGCTGTATTCATCAAGAATGTTGTTGCAAAGAGCACTAACCTATCCCATTGCTTTTCTCTAATCTGCTAGTAAACATATTTACCTAAAGATTTTTTTTTTAATATCATAAAACATACTGTACCTAAAGTTCCTCCCAACCCACCTTGTCTACTTACAGTAAACAAGTCTCAGCTTTGACTGACCCAAAGCAGCATTCATAACCTCCTGTTAAATTTTCAAACTAGTTTCTTTGAGCTCTTTCTGGTATGCTGCCCTTCATGCTTGGAAGAAGCTCCCATGAGTTTTCACAGAACACTTCATTGCTTTCCTCAAATCCCTCTTTAAAACTCTCTTTTACCATGCTGCCTACAGAAAACTTGACAGGGAAGTGACTTCAGGTGAGCTAAGATGACTGTTTATCATACTCATCAATTTTGCTTCTGTGTATTCCCTTTCTTTTTGTATCCATCTGTTGTGTCACACTTAAATGATAAGTTCTTTGCAGAGTGCCTTTTTGTTCTGCATTTTGCAGTCCCTAATACAATGGGGCTCAGGTACACAAAGATAAGTTGCAGAAGTGAAACAAAGACACTGCTTCATTATGTATCATCTCTGCTGTTCATAGAGATCTTGGGTGAAATCAGGTGCTAATAGTTACCAATGAAGTCAAGGCAATTACTGATATGAATTAAAATTAAGAACATGTATAATTAATTGTAAGGTTAGAGCATTAATTTGACTCTAATACAGGAGATCCTCCAATAGCAGAATATTTACTCCAATGAGTAAACTGATGAAGATTAGCAAACCTATTTATGTAAAATTACAAGCAAATTGTTACATATTCAGGATAGCTAAGACTTTTAAAAAGAAGAAACCTATATTATGGTCTACTTTAATATCTGAAAAGATATGTATGTTGTTTAAACTAGGCAGTATTTAGGAGCTACTTCTGTGTGCAGACTGGGTCACAGAAAATTTGCCTAAAATTTTATTTACTCAACCTGTCATACTAATGCCAGCCTGGGGTAAAGAGTGTCTAGATATACTTATTCAGTTTGTGAACAGTTGGTAATAACATAGGCAGAAGAGCAGAGGAAACAATTCTGTCAAGCAGTTTCTTTTACTCTGATTAAACTGAATCCAAAGCAGTAGAATAACTAGTCTTTGTCTGTCACTTATGTGCTCTTTGTTTACTACCCAAAAGGGAGTGTATTAGCGGGGGGACTGTACCAGTTCATTTCTTTGTAGATGACCTTACCCTTTAAGACATTGTGGATTTTTCCTCTGTATGAAATTGTTGTATTTTAAATTCTTTTCATCTGATAATAATTGTTTTTATTTGCCTGCAGTCTTTGCTGAGCATTCGTGGCTCCCTGTTTTCCCCAAGGCGCAACAGCAGAACAAGTCTTTTCAGCTTCAGAGGTCGAGCAAAGGATGTAGGATCAGAAAATGACTTTGCTGATGATGAGCACAGCACTTTTGAAGACAACGAGAGCAGAAGAGATTCTCTCTTTGTTCCTCATAGACACGGAGAACGGCGCAACAGCAACATCAGCCAGGCCAGTAGGTCATCCAGAACAGTCCCTGCACTTCCAGCAAACGGGAAGATGCACAGCACTGTGGACTGCAATGGAGTGGTGTCGTTAGTTGGGGGGCCGCCAGCTTTGACATCGCCTACGGGACAGCTTCTGCCAGAGGTGATGATTGATAAAGCAGCCACTGCTAGCAATGTAAGGAAGTCTGCAATAGCTCAGGCATGATGTTCTGTCCCTGTATGATCAGTCACTGTTTCCACAAATTTAGTCACATGGCAACAATGACCTTTCTGGCTAAGCTGTGAATGCTCCTCTCACGTATTTCAGCTATAAGCTAAAGGAGAAATTAAAGTTGTCCAGTTCTCATAAATTAAATATGTGAAAATGCATCCAAACTGATTAAGAATTAACAGAATAACATAGTAAACCATTGAATAAGTTTAGTTTGTGTAGTCTTTCACTCATTGATTCATTATGCTTAGACTCAACTGGATGGTTCTGTACTTGTATATCAGAAAGGATATCAAAATGGAAAAAAAATTACATTTACCTAATGGAATATTTTAAATTGGTATTTAGCTTCCTGCTGTCCATACATGAAACTTCTGATGTTACCCTGGTAGTACAACTTACAAGGGTTATGACTGTAATATAGCTAATTTTTCTATGGGTTTTTTCATGTCAGCATTACTAAATATTTTTTAATTTGTCTGGAAAATGTGCTAGGAAATTCATAGTTTATTCTAAATTAAGAGTTATCTTAAGAAAATGCACTTATGTTTAGTTCCTTTACTGCTAGCTGTGTGGGCTGTGCATTTTTATGTTTAGAAAAAGACTTCACTGCCTAAATAGAAAGATATTTAGAGCAGAGCTCATTGACAAGCGCTGTGAAACATTTTTTAGTCTGAAATCTGCTTTAATATCTCAGCCCTGTTTCAGCAAAATACTTAAAAACATATTCTTCAGGCACAAGAGCAATGTGCTGCAGTGTTTGACTATTTGTTCTCTGCAGAGTCAGGCATACCTTAGTCTGCTGTGGAGCCTCAGCAGAACTGGAGCATGGTGTGGGACAGCAGTGTTCTAAACCAGTAGAGCTCTACAGTAACTCACAGTGTTATTAAATGTACCATCAATTAGCTACTTCATCAGTGCTTTATTTTCAGGGCACTACTACGGAAACTGACTTAAGAAAGAGACATTCTAGTTCTTACCACGTTCCTATGGACTACCTAACAGACCCTAGTGCAAGGCAAAGAGCAATGAGTATAGCCAGCATGCTTACAAACACAATGGAAGGTATGTAGCACAGATATTTTTTGTATGACAGTACCTTAAAAGTGCTATTAAATGTGTGATGCATTAAGTGGTAGTGATGTTTTAAGGCAGCTATTTCAGCCTAGAGGGTACAGACAAGAAGAGATTTCTTTATGGAGTTAGGGGAGGGATTTTTTGGTGGTTTTTTTTCATTTTTTTATTTTTTAATTTGGGACTGATAAATTTGGAAAAAAATAAATCTTGCAACATACTGATAGGTTTGAGGTAGAAGTAGCAAGTTTCCAATTTAAAAATGGTTATGTTTCTTGCAGTAGAACAATCCCCTTCTACCAATTCAATAGACTTGCTGTTTTACAAAGGAAGGATCATGTTCTTCTTTCTGTAAGGCTAAATACAATTACTCTGAATCATGGAATTAAGCAATTATTTGTAAGAAAGGTTGAAACATTATGTTGAGGCTAAATGACTATGCCCAAATAGAAAATTGGAAGGTAATAAAGAGCAGTTGTGCACATGTGGACCATAATGCTGCCTAAATACTTGTCTGACTTCAGGCTTGCTCTAAATGCTTATCTTTCATGAGGATATTTTAAAATATTTTTTTGGAAGGGACCTTAAATATCATCTAGAGTTCCAATCCCCCTGCCATGGACAGGAACACCTTTCACTGGAGCTGATTGCTCCAAGCCCCATCCAACCTGTCCTTGAACACATCCAAGGATAGGACATCTACATCTTCCCTGGACAACCTTTGCCAGGGCCTCACCACTCTCACAGTAAAGAATTTTTGCCTACTACCTAATCTAAACCTACCTTCTTTCTGTTTAAAACTGTACACCCTCATCCTCTCACTGCACTCCCAGATAAAGGCTCCCTCTCCATCTTTCCTGCAGGCCCATTATAAGTGCTGGAAGGCTGCAATAAGGTCTCCTTGGAGCCTTCCCTTCTCTGGATAAGTAACCCCAGGTCTCTCAGCCTGTCTTCATAGGCCATGTGCTCTGTCCCTGAATATCTTTGTGGCCTCCTCTGAAGCTGCTCTCATGCTGGGAACCCTAGAGCTGAACACAGCACTCCAGCTGGGGGAGGAGAACCCCTTTCCTCAGCCCTCTGGCCATGCTGCTTTTGATGCTGCCCAGGAGCATTTTGGCTCTCTGGGCTGTGACTGACATGGTAGGCTCACATGCAATTTTTCAGCCACCAATAACCCCAAGACTCTGTCTGCTGGGCTGCTTTCAATCCCCTCATCCCCAACCTTATGGCAGGATTCTAAGACAAATTTCTCTTTTGCATTCTATCTAGCATTAGCTTGTGAATGGTTCTTTTATCTATTGAATCTTTAGTATAGTTGTTTTGGGGGTGGATTTTGGTGTGTGGGGTTTTTTTAATAGATTATTTTAAATTTTAATTTCTTTTAACTGAAAGCAGTCTCAATTTCAAAATATGAACACAATTTACCAACAGTACCTTGGAAAACAGCATTTAGTTTCAAAGAAATATCCAGGTGATTCTGGAATAGAGAAATATATTTAAAATTTTATTTTCATTTTCCTCTCTAGAACTGGAAGAATCCAGACAGAAATGTCCACCATGCTGGTATAAATTTGCTAACACTTGCTTGATTTGGGACTGCTGTACTCCCTGGCTAAAAGTCAAACATATTGTAAATTTGATTGTGATGGACCCATTTGTTGATCTGGCCATTACCATCTGCATCGTCCTGAACACCCTGTTCATGGCCATGGAGCACTACCCAATGACAGAACAGTTTAGTGGTGTGCTTTCAGTAGGAAACCTTGTAAGTCTTTCATGATGTGCCATGTTTGTAAAATGCATTTTTCTTTAATTCTTTTGTGACTTATGCACATTCATATAAAAGAAAAAGTTGACTATTTAGAGGTTTGGGATTGTTGAACTTAAATTTAAGTTGTTGATATTTGTAAATTTCACCACACTTACTTTACAGAATCAAGATCTACTGAGTCAATATATGCACTTTGATTTTTAAAATCTTCATCTTCTGTCATTGAAGCTCATTAAAGGAGGGTTTTTTTATTTGATGAATAGTTACAAATCATAAGAACTTTCAGTTCCATTCCCACACCCATTGTGTTCCTCACTAGCACCTCCTAAGGATCTGGGTGTTCAAGGAATTTTAGAGGGGAAAGACCCAGTAAGCATGACAGATGTAAGGAAATGATGAAATGGAATGACAATGTCTTCCACAGGTCATCCTGAAGAAGAACAGTTCTGCTCAACTTTCTGTATGACTTTTTTCTTAATAAAATAAGTTTATGATAGGAACAATTATCTTTATTTCTAGAAGTCAAATGTGGTCCAAGGGCAAAGATGAGCTCTAAGTAGATAAAAATTAGCATTAAAATCAGATAATATTCTGTGTATTGGCAGACGTGCATATTAACAGGCTAGATAAAAACCACATTTTCCCATTCTTTTTATTAATAACCCAAACTCTATGATGCATATGTAAGTTTCAAATATTAATTTTATTCCTAACTCCAGTGTATGGAAATCTAGAGAAAATGTTCAGATTTAATTTCTTGCTGATAATATAACTTAGCATGTGTTGATACCATTAGTTTTACTTTTTAAATATTTTCTTCCTATACTGGAGTAAGAAACTGTATTTTCCTTGCAGGTGTTTACTGGAATTTTCACAGCAGAAATGTTTCTCAAGATAATTGCCATGGATCCTTATTATTATTTCCAAGAGGGCTGGAATATATTTGATGGTTTTATTGTGAGTCTTAGTTTAATGGAACTTGGCCTTGCAAATGTAGAAGGATTATCTGTCCTTCGATCGTTCCGATTGGTAAATATACTATTTAAAATACGTTTCTAGATTACATTTTTGTATTTGTACATATATATTTTGTGCATTTTTCTTTTGCAAATTAAATATTTGGCTGAGAGAGAAGATATTTTCAGAACTTACAAAATGCTAAATTGCGTATTCACTACATGGCATGTATATATTATATCAAGTTTGTTTTGCATATTAACATAGCAATGTCTATTTCTCCTTCAAGATATTGTCAACATCAATTCTATTCTTGTCAAAAGCATGCTTAAAGAATTAACTTTTCTAAGAGAGGTATTTCTTAGAGTCTTCTCCCTAGATGAGGGAGTTAAAAAATTCAAGAGCCACAGGGCCTACCCTACATGTGACTGAAGATTAGTGAATTGCTTGGGAAATAATGAGTTAATTAATAAAAGTTGATTGAAAATTTTAGCTTATAGACTTCCATTACCAATTGCCTTTGTTGGTTAGTTTTACAAGAGAGTAGTGTTAAGATTTTTAATTGTCCAGGGGCTTTTCCTCCCTACCAGCCTTCTCTGTACCCCTGCAAGGGTCTATCTGCTGTCTGACAGCTTTTCTGCTCAGAAGTCACTACAGCATCTCTGTCTGTTATTAGAGATCTCTTTCATGAACAGGAACTTGAAAAACCTTGGTTTTCTTACAGACTGGGCTAGCATACGATTCAGTGTCCAAACATTCTTCTGAAAAGACCTAAACAGTGAGAGACATGAAGCTAGAGTTCCTGGTCATCAAGATCAACTTCTGCCTTAAATGAAAAAAAAAAATTAACTTGAAATGAAAGTTAAATACATCCCCTTTAAAAAATAAGGGATTTTAAATAAGTTTTTTCTGGTTATCTGCATAGCATTACATTGTACTTTGCCTGAAGTCAAAAATCTGTCTGGATTGACTTCTCTCTCGGTAGTAGATTCTGGTTTTAACTTGACATTTATGTCAAGTTGTTTTTATGTCATATCTTCTTTATGAAACAAAATCATCACATGAAATAATATTTAGTTTTATCTTCAGTTTAGTATTCTTCTTTCAATTGTCTGAACAATTGCTGTATCTTTCCAAGAATTTGATTTTTGTCTGTTTTAAGTTGTACTTATTAATATACTTTCCCTTGTTTTTCTCAATGTTGCATGACAAGCTTTGTAAAACACATTACATTTATTTTAAAAGACTGAAATTATGTTGTTAAAGATACTTGCAAGTCACTTTTATGTCTGTAATTAACAACTCTAGCTTGTTTCTCTTTTTAGGAAAGCCATTTCCTCCATCTCACAGCCTGTTAAGTTGAAAGCATCTGGAAGTGACTATATACTTATGGTCCTGTTAAACTGATCACATTTCATATGTGCTCATTTATTTTCAGTAATATTTTCTCAGAGTTTACAGGAGAAAGACTGTTTTGTCCAACTTCTTTAACAAGTAAAACTTCTTTACAAATACCTAAAGTCATCCAAAGAGTCAAAGTCTGAATAGGAGTCTTTGTGATAATTTCAATGTAATTGAAATGAGCATAGAGATATTATTTTTGATTTCTAATCACTTGAATCAGGACTTACCACTGCTGATGTGTAGTATTGTACAAAGAACTGGAATCAGAATTTTGTAACTAAAACTTTGAACGATTACAAGAGACATGATGTAGACGCATGGTAACTGACATATGCAATGTATAGCAGCAATTTCATTCTAATTAGATAACAAAGAACTATATACCATTCTTCTGTTTTGCAGCTTCGAGTTTTCAAATTGGCAAAATCTTGGCCAACTCTAAATATGCTGATTAAGATTATTGGCAACTCAGTGGGGGCTCTGGGGAACCTGACCCTGGTGCTGGCCATCATTGTGTTCATTTTCGCTGTGGTTGGGATGCAGCTCTTTGGGAAGAGCTACAAGGAATGCGTCTGCAAGATCTCCAGTGACTGTGAACTGCCTCGCTGGCACATGCACGACTTTTTCCACTCTTTCCTGATTGTATTCCGAGTGCTGTGTGGGGAATGGATTGAAACCATGTGGGACTGCATGGAGGTTGCAGGCCAAACCATGTGCCTTACAGTCTTCATGATGGTCATGGTGATTGGAAACCTAGTGGTAAGTAATCAGTGGAATTTTTTAAACTCCTAGGACATATCTCTTGTTTTTCATGATTTAGAAATCTAAAATGAAAACTAGAAAAGGACTTCAGGAAATCATGTATTTCACTTGCCCTTTCTGTACACCAGGTTCAAATACACCTTGGTTATCTATGAAGAATGTTTCTCTATTTTTCTTTTAAATCTCAGTAAGTTTATAACCTCTTTAATAAGGGCAGTGCTGAATTGTACTTACAGTTAAGAGTGCCTTTTAAAAAACCATCTAATTTAAATCACCTTTACAGCCAAGTAAACTAAATTATCTCAATATTGATGGAAAACTGCTGGTTTTTATGACAACCTTTATAATATTTAAAAGCTTACTGTTTCCACTTTCAGTCATTTCTCTGGGAAACAAAACAAGCCTGACTCTTCAATTTTTTTCTCATAAGTGATGATTTGTAAATGGCTTATCCATTTTGCTACTGGCTTCTGAATTCTTCCCAAGCAACATTTTTAATAAAGACACAAGTACTGAATAATGTGGAATAATGATACTTTCATTTCTTACACTGAGCGTTCATTGTAGTACATCCCCAAAAGACACATGAAATTTCTATACCAACATTGCTTTCCTGATGCAGCTTCTATACCCCTTTCTGCAGTGCTTCCACTTTGCCTATTTTCACACTTTCTTTATATATACTTTTCATTTTTCTTAACAATCCTTTCCACAACAGTACTTCAGAATTAAACAAAATATTGATTTTGAATAATTTCACTAACTTGCCATAAATCATGATTATGTTATTTTTAGTTCTTTCTCCTTGAATGCTGGCATCCTTTTTCTTTTTAGTATGATCCACAAATTTTATAAATATGCTTATCCAGAGTCATCACTACCAAGTATCACCAGAGTAATATGAGTACTGTGGCATAACAGGAAGAACTGCAAATATAATTTAACTGATTTTTAATTAAATTATTTTTAATCGGTTTTGCACATGGTCTGTCATAATTGCTTGCAATCCAAATTTCTCTTGTATGTTTGTAAAATGTCATACAAGAAAGTCTGAAATAGCTGCTTGAAACTAAGATTAAATAGTTTACTGAAATTGAGGAGTACCACATCTGGGGACTCTATCTCTTAGCTAGTGTTCCTGCCCAGGACCAAGATAGACTCATGTATACTTGCCAAATACAAAATTTTACTCTATTCTGAATTAGAGATGGTCTGAATTAGAGATGGTCACTAGAGCTGTGGTCTGTTGCACTGTAGAGGACTGGCATTAGCCTACATTCCGCTGTCCTATGAACACTACAGTGGACACAGCTTGCATAAATCACTGCATTATGTTTTATTCTGCCTTTTTATGTCTTTCTCCATGTTGAGGAGCAGATCTGTACTACTGCAGATTGTGGAGAAGACAGTCAAGGAACAGCTCAGATTTTCACCTGTATTAGTGCAGTTAAATCAGCTAAAAGTGCTTTTGGCAAGATAATAAAATGTTGGGGACAGGGATTATAAACTGAAAAGAATAGCAGGAAGGTGCATAGAAATAAAGTGTTACATGTGAAATAAAAACGGTCTCATATTGAAAAACTTTTAATGACATATCTTTTATGACTTAAAAATAACAGTAATTTTTTCCTTATTTTATTTTAGGTACTCAACCTATTTCTGGCCTTGCTGCTGAGCTCATTTAGTTCAGACAACCTTGCTGCTACAGATGATGATAATGAAATGAACAATCTCCAGATTGCTGTGGCAAGAATTCAGAAAGGCATAGATTATGTGAAAAGAAAAGTGCGTGAATTCATCCAAAAAGCCTTTGTTAGAAAACAGAAAGCTTTAGATGAAATCAAACCTCTTGAAGACCTAAACAATAAAAAAGACAGCTGTATTTCCAACCATACAATAGTAGACATAGGTAAAAACCTTGCCTATCTCAAGGACGGGAATGGAACGACCAGTGGCATAGGCAGCAGTGTGGAAAAATATGTTGTTGATGAAAGTGATTACATGTCATTCATAAACAACCCAAGTCTCACCGTGACAGTGCCCATTGCTGTTGGAGAATCAGATTTTGAAAATTTAAACACAGAGGAGTTCAGCAGTGAATCAGACCTGGAAGAAAGCAAAGAGGTAAGCCTATGTTTAGCTTTTTAGCTTTTAAATACTCTGATGCTTTTCTTTTTTTTTTTTTTTTTTTTTCCTGAGTGTTGATTCAAATCTTTCTTTAATTGTTTTACAAAAGCATATACAAACTTGTGATACAATATACAAACTTGTGAGCATATACAAATTGATGTAAGGTTGTGAGTTTTGAATGATGGTGATACAATATTGCACTTACAGTAACAATCAAGATATGTAAGAAAAGTTTTTAGAAAATTAATATTTTTTTCTATTTTATTTAGCTAAATCCCTAACAAGCAAAGGAACCAGTTTAATAGTCCTGGATGCCAGAAGTCATATGAAGTGTGTCTGGCTGGTGGAAATTTCTCTATGCTTATTTCATTAGAGCAGTTTGTTTTTTAATCTGCTTTTTTAACAGTTTATTCTGATGTTTTAACCTTTTTTATAAAGTGAAAAATGCATCCATATACATCATAGATACATTTGAATACTGGACTAGCATCACTAAACAATGTCAAATAAATCACATATAATCCAGTTGATGGTTGCAGAACCACTGAAGTGAAGTAATGGCCTTATGGCAAAAAAGTTACAAAGCTTAATATCCTAGTATAAGATCCTTTCATTTGATTACTCATTGTTATTTTCAAAGCTTTAAGATATTTGAATGTGTTAACTATGACTAATAAAATGTACCTCTTTCTGGCACAAGGTGGTGCCAAGAGGATAAATCCAATCTAGCACTGAGAGTTATAGAGGATGCCAAGGCATTATTATTGTGTGTGTATTATTAACCCACTGCTTTGTCCTGCACAACTGAAAGTGATGGAGGCACATCAGCCCAAGTGGAGTAAGTCTGTGCAATGCTTAATACTGATGCTAGTTCATTCAGCATTAGCATGGGTATTTTTGAACAGTATTGCATGCTGTGGGGTAGACATAAACTAACAGAAAGGCTTTCATTAATGATTTTTTCTTACTTGAATCTGAGAGTATAAATATTGTTGGAGAATTTTGCTCAGACATGGCTTGAAGGAAAAAAGGCCATGAAAATATACAGCCTATGGAAAAGTAAAAGGCAGCTGTAAGCAGCAGTTCCCAAGCCTGTTTCTGTAAATAATAAGGTTCTCAGGCACGTTTCGGTAAACAGCAGAGTTCTCTGGCAGTTTTCTCGTAACAGGTGAACATTCTATATTTGGCTGTTTTGGGAAAGTAAAAGTAGGTTTTGAGAACCTTTCATATCAGGGTGAGAACACAAATCTTGGTTTCAATAACAAACCACGGGTATTGAAAACAAAAGGAGGGATTAATGTTTAATCTGTAACCTATGATGAGCTCGGGTTTTGCAATATGTATGAGCTTAATTAACACTGTTATAAAAAGTGACTGATTGAATCAATAAATCGGAGTTCGATGCTGATCAATTAAGATGGGTCGTCTCCCTTCACTTCATCAATATATGGGTAAGATTCTAGTAATTTTCTGCCTGAGATGCTTTTCTGTACCGACTGCATTACACATTTAGTCATATTTTCTTGTTTCTTATCACAAATGTCTTTATTATTCTTATAAAATATTTTTTCAGATTGATTGTATTAATATTTATCTTTCTCTTCAAAACCAGTACTTGGGTGTAGAACAAATCAGTTGAAGTTTAACCTTCAGTTGTTCTGCTCTTTATTGCACAAGAGCACTTTGTCAGTAGGAGAGGTGGAGGGTGAGCTTTGCACAAACCTCTGTGCTGGTTGTTACAGGGCTGAGTATGACAATGGTGCATCTCTTACTTCTCTGCATCACTGGATGATGTGACTGCTGACTGTATTCATTAGCCAAATCTTTCTTTTCTTTCCGCAGAAGGACCCTCATTGGGTTCTTCTACAAGATGACAGAAATATTGACTTCCTATAGGAAAAGTTTTAAAGCAGATTATCTCACATTTGAGGCATGAACTCCAGTCATTGAACTTCCACCATAAAAGAAAGGCTTTCTACACCACCTACCATATTTAAAAGAAAACAGTGTCTTCATTGCATTCTTGGAGGCCCTTAATGCTGTTGTGCTTCAGGAACTGCAAACAGGTGATAAGACAAAGAAATGCTTATTAAGTCAGGGATAAGCTAGTGCCAAGCAGCTCCAACTGGCCAAGTTTGAAACTCTGCTGAGTATATTTGGGGCCAAAATTTCTTGCTAATGCAGATGCTGAAGGTGAAAAAATAAAGGGAATTTTTATTAGTTTCAGGGATTTTTAAGAGAGACACAGCAGTAAGCAAAGATTGTGAGCATATTTCTCAAAAAAGTGCCTAAAGTTCAAGTAGATTTTAGTCACAGAAGCATGACACAAAAGCATTACAATCTTAATCCTAGTTCCTACTCTTCACTTGATTCTCTTAACCACCATGATTTATGATATAGTGGAGTGTTGACTTATTAGTCAGATGACCAACACTCTTGTAATGAAAATGTTCCATAGGAAAAGAAGGCATTTTTTAAATTTAAAAATTGACTACAGATGGCTTTTAATAAAGTTTTCTCTTTTTTGCTATGCCATAATGTGCCTTGCATTTCTGGCCTCTCTTGTTTTCTTGTTTATATGACACTGCTGTTGCCAATTTGATCTGCCAGTCACTTCATTGCTTACACCACAAATGAAAAAATCTAAGTCAGGAACTGCCATCAAATTGTGTTCAATTAGCAGATTTGCAGATGAAAGGCAGCCGAGGCATCCAGGTGCTATGAGGACACTGTACAGGATAGCCAGATGCTGATGAGTGTGTCTGTGTGCTTCTGCTTGCTTCTGTGTCTACAACCAAGTCCATGTATTCACTGTTGTATAGGGCAATAAGTTAAATTCCAACAAAATAATTATTATTTCTTAGCAAGTTTTAATTAAGCGTGTTAATGTTTGGTGAATTCTTTATTATAGAGCATGTATATTTCCAGTAGTTTGATAGAAATATTGACTAGATTATGCCTTTGTAGAAACAATACATAAAATGTTGTACATACTTAGTAGGTATGAATTAACAAGGAATTTTCTAGAAAGTTACTGAAACCTAAAATAAATTTAATTATAGAAACATTATGTCCCTAAGGATGTCAGTGTGTGAATACAGTATAATAAGGAAATTAGAGAAAAAATACTAAATAAAACTTTATCATGGAAGTAGGCCATTAATAATTGTGGGAACATGGTGCTGAGTCCATTGTCCTATAAAAAAGGGTCTGTGGATCTGAGCTGCAGTACTGCTATTTAGTGTAGAAACTATGAATATATCTTTTTTTCCATTTTAGGTTTTAAAGTACTATGAGGATGGTTTATATAGAAAATTTTTTGTAGTACCTGTATGACTGTATAATAATTAGTTAAAATAATCATAATAGTGGGTAATAATAATTAATTTATGTTAAATGTAACTTATAGGCCAATAATAACTCCAAGACATACAATGACAAAATATTTTTCAATGCTTTGAAGAAAATGGGCTCTCCTAATGCTGTTGCAGAGACATTAATAATGTATATTTTACTCTAAGCAATATTCAGTGCAAAAAACCAGAGGTGCTGTGTCCTGAACTTCATTTCCTACCGTTCTTACTTCTCACAGGAGTAGGACCAAGCTGGATCAGTCAAGCGGGCAGCTCTGGTGCCTTTTAGCGAGGCAGAGCATCGTGTCACCAGTTTTACACAGGTTACCTAAGCAAGTTATACATCTCTCTATATCCTATTTAATCACCTTTTAGCCAATATTGACTGGCCTGCATGCTCTTCAGCTATGATCCTGTCCCATTCATTGCAATAAGTACCAACATGCACAGCTGCTCCCTGCTGAGCCACGGGACTCGCATCACAGCATGGGCAGGCAAGAGTGGCAGCCCCAGGATTTCTGTGGTTCTGGTCCTCTCCATAATACTTTAATAGTATTTTGCAGTGCATGCTATCTACCTCTCGTAATCTTGATGATATAGAATTCAGGATTCTGTGTTTGAAGGGTTTTCTTTTGCTTTGAGGGAAGACAGGATATGTAACACATATGCCACAATTCTCATCAGAAGCTTATATTTATATATAAGTCCATCCGTAAATTGTGTTGGTAATGAAAACCTGCTAGCTGTTTCAGAAAAGTTTCATATTATTGTCTTTTAACTTGTAATGGAGGTAACCTGCAAACTCATCATAGTCATGTATTTATTTTTCACTTTTTTTTTAGAAGTGCTTTTCTTTAGTACTTGTATAAGCATTTCATTATTTTGGAGATTAATATGCAGTACTTGGAGCACCATTAAGCATGAAATTAATTTCATTTCTGCAGTCAAAGCATGTGACCATAATTTGGTTGAAAGAATTCATACAAAACTGTTATTTGGCTGGTTAAACATTCAGAGATTAGTTCTGCTCTTACTTACGCTCACACTTAGGTTTAGAGTTGCAAAGAGAACACTGATTGAAAGATGTGGCCCAATTCAATCTTATTATAGCTCTTTAATTTATGGTCAAAAAAATATTACCTCCCCAATAAAATTGTCTGCCTTGAGAAACTTATTCTCATCTCATCAGTAATAGACAAAGTTTAGCATTCAAGTAAATAAACTATTGAGTTTGGATCAAAATGTGCGGAAGTTCCTCAGCTTCAGTGTAATTTACATTTCACATCTTAAACAATGCCATAATATTTACAACACCACAGTTGCTGCTTTCAGTTTTGTAAATCAGTGGAATTAAAACATACTTACTCCAGAGCTTTTCCTCTTATATTTTGAAAAGAATAATTATTCTGATAAGATGTATTTTGATTTTAAAATATTCATTATTTAAAATCCCTTGATACTCTGAAGAATTTAGGCTTTGTATTGTGAATTGGTAACATTGTATTAGCATATTGTGATTCACTGTGGATGATATTAAGTTGTTAATATTAGAGTTAAGGAAAGTTTGCTTAATTAATATTTGCAAACAGTTGTTCCCTTACTCTCTTTCAGAAATATCCTTTCACTATTGCTTGTATTAAATATTTTCATTTAATAAATTCTCATTAATAAATAGATCAAAGGAATTATGAATATCAGTAAAGTCCAGAGTGGACTATAATTTAGAGATACTGGTTTTTTTCAGTTTTTGCAACCAATAATCACCACAAAATTGTTTTGCTTTGATTTACAGTGTTCTGGATTTTTATACTTAGAGAGTTATTCCGCCTTATTTTATAAGCATTAGAAAGAGTGAAATCCAGATTCCACCTAGTTACACCAGTGGAATGACAAAGATATCTACCACTTTGAAGATTTCATAGGTGATATAGCCATACTGAAAAATACTGGATAGTTTGGATATAATATTGCCGTTTATATCATGGAACATTTCAGTTTCATACTGACATTCAGACAGCACTGAGAAAATAAAACAAATTTAATTTCCATTATTTAGCATTTTCACAGGTATTTGGGAGGAAATGAAATTGAAAGCAAAATCAAAATGTTGGTTTCTCTTGGCGCCATCTTCCTGCTTATGTCTGTCCTGCTCTTTGCTCCTTCAATCCCTTAAATTATGATTTCAACATCTATTAGTGGCATCCTGGCCAATCATGAAATTTCAGCCTTTGTTAAAAATGTTAAGCTAAGAGCTGTCCATCTACTCTCAGATAATAATCTTTGGAACAAACAAAGAAATGTTAGAAGTGGCCTGGCTGTAAGTGAAGCAGAATTGTATGAATCCATGCGATGTTGTCAAGGTTCAGAAAGTAATTATGTCAAAAACTTCCTGACCTAGTCTTGGCTGCTGCTTTTTGCAATGCTTCTCTGATAGGCAAGCTGCTTTCCTATCTTGAAAGCTAAATTAAAATCTGAATCTCATATTGTTCTGTATTGCTGACTAAAGCATGTCTGGCAAGGCTGTTGGTACATGTGATGTAAAAGATATTTAAATCTCTAGGATAATCAGTATACTGCTGCTTTAGAAACATCTAACTACTATTGTCCCCTTACTGTTTTCTTCAAAAAGGAGGTAGAGTACGTACATTTTAAGGTTTTGAAAAACAGATTTCTCTGAGAATAAATTTCTTAGTATACTATTCAGAAAATTTCTATCCTCATAACTCTCAAAGAATGTCTAATGCTTGATCCTGATAAATCTCTTATAATCTGCATGACTGAATCCTTTTGAAATCTAGACTCACGGTATAACAAAAAGCTTAAAATGGACTTACTATTAGATCAAAGCTAATGCTTGGGTTTGCTTATTATCTCGTTTCTATCGGTTCATTTTTAAAAAAAGTTAATGTTAAGTAAATAGCCTAAATTCAGTGTTTGTAATGCTGGTAAGCAGAGAGCAATTTACCAGGTACAAAGGTAACTTTCAGAAATGTTTAGGTAAAGAAGTGGGATATATGCTACATACCTAACATCTCAGGGTCTGCAGTTGGGGTAGTCTAGCTAGCCAGCTGGATTCCGTGTTTGAACACTGGTAAGTCACAGTAAGTGCCAGAAAAAGTCTTCCTGTGTATTAAGGCATGGACAAACCTGATAGCAATAACATGATCCATTGCCAGGTCATGTTGTGTTGAATACATAGAAATCAGTAACAAGTCCCTGAGTCAGTTGCTTTATGCCAGAGCATGTTTGCTGTGGAAATATGTAAATGTTAATGAAAAGTTTTCCTAGCATACTGAACTTAATTGAGTTGATAAAATCTTGAGATGTTGTATCATAAAATCTTTCTAGCTGTTTCTAATGCATACAAAATTTTATAAATTTTGTGCATAATGCCATACAATAAATTAAATGTTAAAAATAACAAAGAAAAATGTAGAAAGAAATTCTCCTGTTGAAAATTTCTAGTTTTTGTTATTTCCCAAATGATACTGAACTTTTACAGACAGAACTTACTGAATAATTTTTGTAATATTTTTCTTTATATTCTGATCTGGTTGGGGCCAAATTCAGGTATAATAGAGCAGCATGCTAAGGAAATACTCTGTTACATCAGCAGAAGAGTAACTCAGTGGGATGAGGCATTTAATAGTTGCATTTCAAGTATCAGCTGCTGTTAATTCAATTTAGGATTTTTCTGTTCAGTTTAACTCCTATGATTATTGTTACAGCTCTGTAAATGAAGCATAGCAGATTTTTATTGAGAAGAGACTTGAAAGATACATCTCACCATACACAGTGCCCCACATAAACTTGTCTTTTTTATGTTCCTGATAATTTGCTATTCTATTGATAATTTTTTACCTTTCTATCTGATATTTGTGATCTCTCCTTATAGTAGCTATATCTAATCTTCCATGCTGAGTTAACTGTTAGTCTTAAGCAATTTCAGTAATAGGCATTCATTACCCTTTTTTGCTCATTAAACTAACTGCATAATATCTGAGTCACTGAACTCTTCATTTTCCTGTAAAAGAATGGACAGTAGGTCTCTCAAACTTATGGTTCAGCCAATTCATAATTTTTGTTTGCTCTGCTACTTCTACAGCATTCTGCTAGAAATGCTCTCCAGATTGGAATGATGCAAGCAACATTTTAAGAAAACACTATGTAATAAAAACAGTCACTTCTCAGTTTTAAAATAATTTCCTGTATTGTGTTGATAAATGGTAAATTTTAACATAATATGTAATTTTTTTTAATGTACCTTGCATTTATGGTATTTCTGGCTTTTCCTCAAACTGATGATTGACTTCCACTGATGTTTAAATGCTGTGGTCCTTACTTGATGACTACAGTATTTATCCCATACTTTCTAGTTTCTCCATTTTAGAGGCAGTATTCCACAATGATCAAACTGCCATGCACTATCTACAATTCAAACATATTGCAATCTGAAATTTGTCAAAAATGATCTGCAGGAAAGTGTGCATCCATCTCTTTGTACATTGGGCCTGACCTCAACAGATGTTTATACTCATGCAGAAATATGAGATATGAATTTCTCAGCTGGGAAATTCAAAAAAGCATATATAACATGGGTGTGCAGATAGCACTGAAACTAGGTGCATAATACACCCTCCAATACATGTTTCCATTTGCTCAGCCTTCCTCTGAAATGTGTTCTGTAGTGAACCGTGGTACACAAAAATCAAAGTTAAGCTTATGTCAGAATCACAACACAATATATTGTCAGTGTGATTCAATAGAATCAGAATGAGGGAGAAAGAAATAAATCTTTTTGTTTGAAGAACAAACTGAATATTTGTTGCTATGTAAAATTCCATTAAATGTCTCAAGTTACTTTTTGTATCCACAGAATAATACTGTTTACATTTCCTTTCCAAAAAACTGTATAGAAGTTGAAGCTACTCAGGAATGTTTTAAAGGAATAATGCCTCTAACTTCAGATTTAAGTGTCAGCAAAAATATATATCTTTAATGTTATCATAGAACATCTCTGTCTAATATTAATTCCCTATAGACTCTATTCTAAATCTGCTTACATCATTCCCTTTACAAGATTAGCTACTTATCAATGCAGCCATTTTACTGATGTTATACTCCATATAGTGATAACATTAGAAGAGTCATAGAATGCTGTAATCAAACTACTTTTACTTATTATAGTACTCATATTTGTCTGTTGCCAGTGTATGATGGTGTAAAAGAATAATTTTAAGGTTTGGATTATAATATTGATATGATTTATTGATGCAGTATTATTTTATTACAATATTGTTTAAAATAATTTGTTTTAACTTTAAACATTCACATTTTTTTGGCCTTTTATAGTAATTGGACATCTATGTGTACTGTACCAAAGTAATAAGTAGTTTCAAAATGCACAATAAATTCAGAAAATGCATTGGCAAGTGAGTATGCAAAATATCAGCTACTGCTCCTAAAGTAATGTGCTGCTCTTTTGGAAATAAAGATAATTAAATTATCCTATAAAACTCATAATATGTGTTTTCATGTCAATAATAATGAAAGCATTATGTTGAAACTTTAGATTTAGCTTTATACAGACTTGCTAGAATAATATTTACTTGAGGCATGAAAATACATCTGTGCAGCTTGCTGTTGGTTTGGTCATGATTTTGGAAATTTATTGGTATTAACACATGCTATCTAAAGTGTAACCTAAAATGCAGCCACATGATTGGAATAATTAAACAGTACAAAATGTGGAAAGCACCCATTCCTAGCTTACTGAAATTTCACTTCAAAATTCTCATGTGTGGCTTAGAATAATACTCTACTAATTTCAGCAATTCCTTGTATGAAAATATCAAAATATTTTCAATAGGGAAAATGCACGTTATGTAGTTTCTAATCTTGTGACCTCACCTGTAGTAGAGCAATTTGGCATTATAGATTGTAGATAAGAAGTTATTTTAATATCACAGCACTGAATACATACAAAATATTTTGATATACATTTCCAACATAAATTTCTATTCAAAACAATAAAACTGGAAAAAATAATTATGTGGGATTTCGTTCACAGAAATTGAATGCATCCAGTTCATCAGAAGGCAGCACAGTTGACATTGGACTACCTCCAGAAGGTGAACAGCCAGAAGCAGAACCAGAAGAAGTTCTAGAGCCAGAAGCTTGTTTTACAGAAGGTAGGCAAAGCAAAATAAAGGCAAGATAAATAGACCTAGTTGTGTAGATTTGTGCAGGATTCTCTTTTTATTCAAAATCAAAAGAAGTTTAGTGATTATAGTTGTAATCTGATAGTATTAGTAACTCTTTCAGAGTTACTGCCATAGATTTACTGTTCTTGTGTGTTCTATCTCTTTGGAAGGTATTGCAAAAGATAAAAAGATTTAAATTCAAATACTAAACAAAAATGCTCAAAGAGGAATTATAAGGATCTAATGCACCAGCACTATGATAAGAAATAAGTCAAATTATTACCATTCATTGTGATTGTTTATAAATATTTACTTTATTCTGACATCTTAAAATTTATTGTCACGTTTAGGGTGTGTACGGAGATTCAAATGCTGTCAAGTCAGTGTAGAAGAAGGAAAGGGGAAAATCTGGTGGAATCTTAGGAAAACCTGCTATAAGATTGTTGAACACAACTGGTTTGAGACCTTCATAGTCTTCATGATTCTTCTCAGCAGCGGTGCTCTGGTAAATTAAGTGTGGAACTATTGTGACTATTGTGATTTTAAACAGCAAGCATTTAAAATTACAGTTAATCACATAGCTACAGGTAACAAATTAGAATTTGATGTCAAATTAATATATGTTCTGATATAAATATATATCTGCAAGATATAATTAAATGTCTTCACAATTTGCAGTGTCCTGTAGGAATGGCCAGGAAAAAATTTGAATTGAAAAAATATACATGATGATAAGGCACGTATCTTTCCCTCAAGTATAACTTCAGCTTTCACTTAATACTTTTCATAAGGCTGGTTCCAAAGAGTATTCATCTTTCAGCTGAGCTGAACAGCAATACAAAAAAATTACTGTAGGACCACTCTTCAAACTTCATTTTCATTTGTTTCCAGGCATTTGAAGATATCTACATAGAGCAACGTAAAACTATCAAGACCATGCTGGAATACGCTGACAAAGTTTTCACCTATATCTTCATTCTGGAAATGCTTTTAAAATGGGTTGCTTATGGCTTTCAAACCTATTTCACTAATGCATGGTGCTGGCTGGACTTCCTGATTGTTGATGTATGTATTCTTTTTCATGTCCTGTACAATAGGCTTAAAAAAAAGAATATTATATTTTCAGGATAAGATTTCTGTTCTATTCAACAAAAACTCTATTTTAACTGGTGTGGTGGTATGGTTTATAATTCTGTTCAGAATGGAAAAAAAATTTGGATATACTTATTTCTCTAGATATGTTTTTTTAAAATTCTCTAGTTTTATGAAGTTGTAATTCTTTCTTGAAATTATGCTTTTTACTATGGTTTTTTGATGGTATAGAAAAGATGCTGTTTAACCTCTTCAGTTTTTTTTTGTATATGGAAGAAATTTTTCAAACTGTTTCTAATTTCTAATGAATTACTGTAAGTGTCCTGTCACTTACTCTGTGCAAAATGAAAGGAACATACTGCTAGGAATTGTCAGTTCCATTGTACTATTCAGTACTCTTGCACTGTTCACGCTATCATGGGCGTGACCTCAAAGAGACAGTTCAGAGAACCATAGATAAGCCCCCCTGGAATGGGTTCCCACATGATTTCCCAAAGGCTGCACTACCAAGGAGCAGCTACACATTCTCTGAAGGAGACCTAGTGAGAAGTGCATTGTAATTTCAGGTCTACTTGCTCAACAATGTATGTAAAGTCCTGGGTAGCATAAATGGAAGACTACAGATGTTTGACCACATAGCAGATGTTCATTTCCCTTCCATCCCCAATAGCCTGATTTACCTCTCAGCTCCACAGATGTAATTCCCATGGAATGCAAGTTAAGGGTATATCTTAAACCACCTATTTGTGCATTATGAAAAGCATAAGAATTCTGTAGAAATTGCTTAATATCTCCCTAAAACTACAGTGGAGCTCTTTACTACACAGAGCTTGGAAAATGCTATACTTTGTAAATCCAGAGCAGCATTGCAGATCCTGTGATAAGACATGACTATATGCTCATATAGAATTTTATGATTGAGTCTATACCTCTGTAAAATATGTATTGGCTCAATAATCTGATGTATAAATTGCCACGACCAGTAGAACTTGTATTTATCAACAAATATTTAATTCTTATTTGATAATCTGTGGTTTAGTTACTTCTATGACTAGCTTTATTAGCTTTATTAGTTTTTCATGTCAACCTTATCTTGGTGCATTTTTAAAATAAAAAAAAAAATTAAATCTGAGGCATTCATTTTAATCTATAGACAGGGGATTGAAATAAAAAAGCCAAAATAACAATTTGGAGATGAAGGAATTGCGAGAGCAGGAAGGATGGAAGGGAAGGGCATTAAATAGACATAAATAGAAGGTGATATGTTTTATTTTTGATTTATTAGGGCCACTCCTTCCCAATGGCTAATAGAAATACATTTCCAAGGATTATTGATGAAAGATAATTGTATTATTTATTTTACAGCTATTCTAGTTTATTTACTCATCTGCCTGCAGACCAGACCAGCGTTATGCAAGCCAGAATTGATGAAGTGGTTAAAGGAGTCACAGGGAATGTAATGAAGTGTGGATATGCCTAACAGTGAAGCTTCTACCATTGTCTAACAAACAGTTGGTTCTCAGTCTTGATTAGTCCTGTTAAATCTGAACAGCACTGGTAGCTATGGCTGTTGAATAAGATTTTCTGGACACTAGAATGTTACATTTTGACCAAAAGCAAGGTCTGGATGTGGTTTTTGAGAGCATTTACATTGTCATCAAGTCCTGAAGATATCATGGGAAGTCCTGACCTAAATTGTCCATTCCAATTCACCCAGCTTTTGGGTGTTTTGTTTTTGCATGTGACTTCATTTTTGTTTAAATCCCACCAAATGTTGACTGGTTTATGTGACTATAGAAGGCACTTTTATACCATGCTATCAACATGATTTCATCAACAGGTACCTAGAATATCCTTTTATTCTACTTTGTCTGACATAAAAATTTTTCTGCATTATAGAGGGTTTCCTGGAGAAAGAGGTCCAGCCTTGAATCTTCTTGAGAAGTTCAGGGCACACATCATTCCCACCATATGTATCAAAAGGATATAGAGATGAATGAGCAATATTGCCTTTCTGTTTTTGTATAGGTCTCTTTGGTTAGCTTAACAGCTAATGCCTTGGGCTACTCAGAACTTGGTGCGATTAAATCCCTTAGGACACTAAGAGCTTTGAGACCTCTGAGAGCCTTGTCGCGATTTGAAGGGATGAGGGTAAGACAACGTGAAAGAATCTGAAATGCATGCATCCACGGAAACAATGCATGCAGAATAATCAACGACCAATCCATGCAGAAATGCTACACTACCATCCTCTATATTTCACATTTATCACTAACATATAAGCAAAAGGCTTCATCTGCTTATATGAATTCATGTGTTATTGCACATATTGTTACACTTAATGAGGCTCCTTGGCCTTTCCCCATTTTCATACTTTCATGGAGGGCCCAAGGATTTATCAGCTGCATGGATCTATGCAATATTACTGAATTTATCCTATACAAACATATCCTGCTATAGTCAGAACAGTTTAAAAAAGCTCCAATACTTCCTCTTAAAAGTGTGTGTGCATACATCCATGTATGCATGCACATGTGTATTTTGTCCCAGTTTGGGCTATCATACATAGTCTATATCCTTTAACATAGTATTCTGTATATATAAATTGGGAATATCTTTTAGAAGTAAAAGTTTTTTAATTAATTTGTATGTTAATAAGTAAATTAGCACTATTAAAATACCTTCTCTCTTTCATATTAGAACCATTGCATTCTATTTAAGAAAACTTTTCTAGCATATCAGAGAGCTGGTTTAATGATTTCTGGTTGCTTATTGCTTTCTGTATTGATTGTAAAATGTTGAGTATAATCTATAGAGCACTAAGCAGCCTGAAAACATATTAGACTTTTGCTGGTATATTTGAGAAGTTACTGTCCCCAGCTGTTTGTTATCAATCCATCGGTTACCACAGCTGAGGCCCTCAGCTGCCCAACAGGGCACGTTCAGTGTGTCTCAGGGCAAAGTCAAAGTGGTCAGTTTAAATCACTTCTTTAGTGCACTGAAATGGACACAGACCTGGTGTACTCAGCCATGACTCAAAAGCTATAGAAATGTTTCTCTCAAGGGTAGTAGTGAACAACCAGACATGGTAGATATTTCTAGCTCCAGCCACAGGAAGGTGTCTGGCTGACACCTTCAGGGTCCATCTGTCTCTCGGACATACTGCCATTGTGGGCATCAGCAGATGCACCTGAACTGGAACCCTCCTACCATAATTAAGAGGGATCCTTGTGTGAGCTCCCTCCTGCGATCACTCTTCTTTGCCACCCCAGGTGATAAGCTGATTAGCTAATTTGTAAATCAACTACAAACTGGTGAGCTTCTGAAGAAAATGTCATGCTCTGTGTGTGTGTAAAGTAAGAGAAGAGACTTCAGCTAAAAAAGGAAATGGGCTTTGATGAAATGTTATAAATTCAAACAGGAAATAGCATTTCTTTGCCTCCAAAAATTTCTGGACTTTTACTATTACAAATTTGAAAATTTGGGATGTTTATATCAGAGGTAAGGCCTGTCTAAAGCATCAGTATTATCTCATCGTATTAACTGTAGGGGTTTCTTTTATGACAGTGACTAGCAAAATGAAAAACTCAAAATAAAAATATTTCAAATTTTATATAAGTGGCAATTCATTGTTGCAAAGAAAACCCAATAACCTTGTCATGAAGGTTTAGGGGTAATTGTCAATCCCATAACTTCCATGTTGGTGTAAACTTTATCTACACATTTGATCCTGATCTGCCAACTGTATCTCTTTGTACATTCCCAGATGAGGAGAAGATTTATGAGTTTTGCAAAAAATGCAATAAAAAGTAGTAGATGAAGTTAGATCACTTAAGACTAGAAATGTGACCGATAACTTCTTTAGTTAGGCAGTTAACCATTGAAATATTCCAATGGATGTACTGAATTTTGCCTTATTTAAATTAATTCCAAGTTTAGTGTCTTTAAAGATACAGTAGCTCAAGTTGATGGAGAGATTAGTATAAGACTATTTTAAGGTCTGATACATGGAAATTCAAGATGTCTGTTCATAACATAATCATTCCATTGGTATTTATCATGTATGAACTGAAAATATAACAATCCGGTACAATGCATGTACTTGCATAGACACTTAAATTGCTTCCATTGAGCACTTCCCATATACAAGCAGGAAATTCTGTTCAGTACATGTACAGTTTTTAACACACTGTACTATTCTCTATATTTCAACTTGTGCCCATACAAACTAGTAATTAAAAGAAAAAAATTTCCCCCATGAAAAACATTAATTTTTTCCCTGCATCTTCCCACCACTGGCATTGCTAGGAAAGGTATACTTTAATTTGCACTTGGTACTTCATTAAAATAGACTGTAGGAATATAATTAATCTGTCCATGCTCTGTCCCAAGCAGTATCACTCACTGCTATATGGTGCTAGACACTAATACCTTTTTCTCTCAAGCAGAAAACAAGGGGTTTGATGTCTTTCTTATGCTTCCCTTGCTTTCATTTGCTGTCAGGCCTAGCCCCCTTTCCTCACAGAGTTACTACTGGTGGAACTGGAAGGTGTTGGGATCAGTGTTTCCAGTGATGCTCAACCGTATGTTTTGAGTGTCTTCAAATGATTCGTATCACAAGCTGGTTCTCTGTAGCTTCAGGACTCAGACTAATACCAGAGAAAGTAGGTCAGCTGTAGAAATCCAGCAATTAAGGAAAGAACATGACTGGACCTGCAGCTGCAGCACAAAAAGGAACAGAATTCTTGGGTGTACTGAGACTGAAAGCTCGAGGACAAATATTTTCACTTCATTAACTATCCCTTTATATCTCAAAAATTGTTCCTGATGGATGATATCAGTACATTTAAGAAATCTACTTATATTTTTGACTAAAAGAATGGAGATAACTTTCAATTTTAAAAAAACTAATATATTTGGAAAATATTCCTAAATTGGGAAAAAATGACCTTTGCATTTATTATTCCAGTCAAATTGTTGTAAAAATAAGTGAGTACATGGTTTTCCAATTTAAACTAATTCAGCACAGTTATTGGACTGTTCATTTTGCTTAGGTCAAATAATATCCTATGGCCTCCTACAGTCGTGGTTCAGTGCTGAGTACAAGCTTGTCAACATAAGAGAGCACTGCTGAAATAGTCAGAAGAGATTTATCCATCAGTTAGGGAATCTTCTCAACCCAGGTGCTGACTTATACAATTCTATATTACTTTTGCCTATTAATTTGTAACAGGTATTGATAAGGAGATTTTTAGTATGATTAAGAAACTATTCTGATTTTTTTTAAATTTACCCACTAGATATAGCCACTTATTAAAACATTTGATTTACGATATGTGGAAAAAAGGTACAAACAAACAAAAAAGCATGGTAAATTAGGATTCCATGCACTATTCTGTGCTTTTATGATGGAGTAGTTCACATTGAAAGCAATTTCATTTGATCCAGTTCCTAAATTTAAATATAACAACAATTTCACTGAAGTCCTATAGGCTCTCATATGTCTAAAGTATGTATCACCCAAATGAGGTAGTGTTTTGACAGGAATGGGGCCCTGAAAGTACAACAGGGATCTATTCTTTCCTTCAGCCCAATTCTCCTTTATACTACACATGATGATGGTTCATCACCTATCTAATAGTCAAAGGGTTTATTTTCTGTTCTGTAAGAGGGCAAGGAATGAAAGTCCATCTACCTGGATCACTAATTTTATAATTCATTGGTTCTGGGGATGGTATTAGTTTCAGATATAACTGTAATGCCAAAATACTTCATAGAACTTCATTACATATTTGTATTTCTAACAGAAACAATAAGTTTATTATGCTAGAGAATCTGTCCTAGTACTTACACAATATATACTAAATGAAGTATAAAAAGCCTACCAAAGTAATAGCTAGTGTTTTGAGAAAAAGCAAACTTCTTTGTTTTAAGGATCTGCTTCAGTTGTTTTGGCAAAGTTGGTGGCAAAGTGCTCTATACTTAACCAGGTTTATATTCTTAGAGTTATTTACAGAGAGATTTAAAATAGGAATTAATTAATTTAGCATCATCGATTCCATCATTAAATGAATAATTCTCATTCATAATGGACCTACTTTCTCCTAAATTTTATTTTCCTCTGTGTTTTGTTTTCATTCTGGCATGTTTTTAATCATTGCTCATCATCACACATGAAATCATTCTCACATTTTTCTTTCCTGAAGCCTGATTTTTCTGAAAATTCAGTTGGGAATGAAATCAAATTTCTTTTTCAAGTTCTATCTGCCAGTTGCCTGAACACTAACAGCTCTGGTGTGTTCAGATACTCAGTAGTTTTCCTGGTTTGAACATTTTCACTTTTAATTCTAAATGTAAACATCCAAAATATCATGCATTCATTACTTGGTTTTATTTTTAAAAATCCTCAAAATTAATTTCAATTAGAAATTTGCTTAGAAATAGATTTGGACTTGCTTGGATTTATCCAGTAAACACGTAGTATTAAAAATTTGGTATGTTCGATTCAGTCAGGGATTACAATTATCATGGTTTTGCAGATATACATTAAGTAAATATTCTAAAAAGCACTGATAAATACTTCTTTTTCCTCTTATTTTTTAAAGTTTGTTTTAATGGTTCTTATTTTACCCATTCTTTAAAGCTAACATTCGCTACTATTTGTATTTTTCCTTCTAACTAAGTTTGGCATTTTTTCTTTTCTCTGTACTGCTTTTCTGACTTGTTACTCTCAACAATTGAGTTGTAACACAGATATTAGAATTATAATTGCATGTTACATGTGAAGCATTTGTAAGATCATGGTGCCTGTGTTCTTACAGTGTCTCTCTTTGGTTTCATTTGTACTCCAGGTTGTGGTGAATGCCCTGTTAGGAGCAATTCCATCTATTATGAATGTGCTTCTTGTTTGCCTTATATTCTGGCTGATATTTAGTATCATGGGAGTAAATCTGTTTGCTGGAAAGTTTTACTACTGTGTTAACACTACAACTGATGAGAGATTCGATATCAGCCAAATTAACAACTTCAGTCAGTGTGAGGAGCTCATACAAAACAACGAAACTGCCCGCTGGAAGAATGTGAAGGTCAACTTTGACAATGTAGGCCTTGGTTACCTTTCTCTGCTCCAAGTGGTAAGTCACCAGTCCTTAATTTCTGTTTATCTTTCTGTATCTCTGTTGTTTACCTGCAACAGTAAAAAGCTTTTTACTTATTTTTTTTTAAATTTAGAAATTTTGTCTCTCAATTCTTGGTTTGAATTATGAAGTGTGAGATAAATCCATGACTCTACAGAAGAAGTAACACAAAGCCTAGAGGATATACTGACTATGAGAAAAAAAATGTAATTCAAACATAATAGACCGTAGCTGCATTGAATCTGTATCAAGTAAACCTCTAATGCTCATGCACAGAAAAATAACTTCTACACCAGATATTATTCATAATAGACATAAGAGTTCTTAATGAATGCTGCCCCTCTATAGTCAGATATTGGAATTGGCTTGCAATTCTTGTTCATGAATAAAACATACAATAGAAAGCAAGAGTGAGCTATTAGGATTTCACTCTGCTGCTTTTCATGAGTACAAAAGACACTTAGTCTTCAGCTCCTAAAAAATGCTTCTGACAAGGCATTTTCCAGGAACAGTATGACCTAAACACCTGTGTTCCGTTTATAGGCTACATTTAAAGGATGGATGGATATCATGTATGCAGCTGTGGATTCTCGTAATGTAAGTATAGTCCCTTGACTCCATTTGTTTTGATTGTATGAGCTCCAAGATTTGAGAATGTAATTTTAACATCTTTCAGAAATTACAGTAAAAATGAAAGAACAAAGAGTTACTATAATTTTGTAGTTAAAGAAAATGGAAATCATGGGAAAAATACAAGAAATGAGGTAAGCAGAGGAGCAGTCCTACAGTACTCCATTTTCTCTATGGTACATTTGAATCAAAATTCCCCAATCCTACAACACACCTGTTGCCATGAAATACCTTCTCCTCCTCTCATTATGCATTGAGCCATTCTTTATATTTGGAAACAGAGACTATCACAGAGATGTTTTTGGGTTTTTTTTTGTAATACTGATCTTATTTATAGTTAAGACTTTCATTGTGCTCTGCAAGCTGCCTGACTGCTTTCTTTAGGGCAGAGTGCTTATTTTTAATTAGACCTGTGCATTTTCTTACCCTTTGGCCTGCCCCTTGTTCCCTTGGAGCAAGTTTTCCTCTAGTTCAAAGTAGACAATTGAATAAACTATACTAGTAAAGCTCCATTTCTATTTTTTTTTTCTTTTGTAAGCTGCAGTCACAGCAGGAGGCTTGGTGGTGTGGTATAGTGAAGGTGCAGAGCTATACCAAGAAAATATGCTTAGTCTAAACATGGCTTGGATGCCTCTCTTCCACAATCCTGTGCAGTTTCCTAAGTGCCTGTAGCAGTGAAATCTCCACAAGCAAATATTTTGTATTCACTGTTAAACTAATGTGTAGTTTCTATGCCTGTTTTGTAGGTTTTGGATCAGCCCAAGTATGAAGATAACCTGTACATGTATCTTTACTTTGTCATCTTTATCATCTTTGGATCGTTTTTTACCTTGAACCTTTTTATTGGTGTCATCATAGACAATTTCAACCAGCAGAAAAAGAAGATAAGTACTTCATTATTATTCTGAAAAGAACATTAAAAAATCTTGGTCCACTGATGACAACTTTATTAATATTTTTTATAATAAATTAGTTAAAGTGCCACATAGTAAATACATTAAATTATTAAAGCTTATAATTTGGCTTGATGAGGGTTAGATGGACAAATGACAATCTATGACTCTCCATGGTTAGTGAAATACTCAATGTCATCTTTGTAAAGATGTGGATTTGAGACTGAAGGCTTAATTGACTCATAAAAAGGCTAACCACTGAAATAGCCAAATGTAGCTATAAAAACTCTTTGCTATACTACCTTCATGTTACAAAGCTCAGCAGTATAGATTTCTGAACTTTGATAACAAACATTGTATTATCTTTATTTGTACCCTCTTTAGTCTTTGTGTTTTGTCAACACTGCCTGAGAAGGTATCAGTGTCCCAGCTGCTGAACTCAACACTTTCAGTAGCTTAATACTTAATATAAAAGTCATAAAAGAGGATTTTTATATCTGTCTTACATTTTCCCACAGATGAGAATATGATCATTAGTATTATTTATAAGTAATCAATAAAGATACATGATTGTAACCAGTTTTTGTCTCTCGGGTTTACTTTGGAGGTCAAGATATTTTCATGACAGAAGAACAGAAGAAATACTACAATGCAATGAAAAAATTGGGTTCAAAGAAACCACAAAAGCCTATACCTCGACCAGCAGTAAGAATAAAACTATTTTCTGTTATTTTTACATCTATTTAAAAATTGGATTTTTTCTATTATGCCTTAGGCTGAAATAAGCTGTAAGCATAAAAAAAAAAAAAAAGATATAAGAAAAGCCTTATTAATCTGAAATACCTTTTTTTTCTTTTTCTTCTGTTATAACAGAACAAATTCCAAGGCATGGTCTTTGATTTTGTAACCAAACAAGCATTTGATATCAGTATCATGATACTTATCTGCCTTAACATGGTCACAATGATGGTAGAAACAGATGATCAAAGTGAAGAAATGGAAAACATTTTATATTGGATTAACCTGGTGTTTATTGTACTTTTCACTGGAGAATTTGTCCTGAAATTGATTTCACTTCGTCATTACTACTTCACTATAGGTTGGAATATTTTTGATTTTGTGGTTGTGATTCTCTCCATAGTAGGTAAGAGCAACTCATTTTTATGAAATGTCTAATTCTGTAAACATGGAAATATTTTTGCCATGTAAAATCTATTTATATTTTTGTTCAACTTTGTCACTAGAAAGTCTTATCCATAACATAACTGAAAAGTATGGTAAGAATTTTTTAGCAAGAGATTTCATACACCCCTACTTTTTTACTGGTTGAAATTGTATCTATATTCTGAAATCAGTAGAGATTCCTACACATGCATGAAAGGCAATTTTGATATAAACTTACAGTGACAGTTGCAGGTGAAAGAGTTCAGTCATCCAAAATCCAAGAGTAAAATCTGTGTGGGACTATTATGAGGGTAGGATGCCTGCACCCCAGACAGCAGGGTAAAACCCCGTGCTTACTTCAGTTTTGTTTGATCCTGAGAGGCTTTGTGCCTGAGATAGAGTGAGCAGAGCTGAAGCAGATGTGGTAACAAATAATGACTACACTAACCTTTGCTTTATCTAGAGCAGCAAACTTGAAAGAACTTGAGTAAAAATTGTGGGTTTTTAAATACTCCTTAATATGCAAATCAGTTTTGCTATTTTTGTATCAAAAAAGTTATTTTTCTGCTTTGAGGCACATAATACAATGCTCAATTCTTTTATTCTTCCATGAATCATAACAAACCTTTTCATCAGTTTGTTTATGCTTGGAATTTCTGTGTCATTACTAATAAACCTGTGTTCATGTTATTTTTTGTGTGATTAAGAAGTCACAGTTCTCCCAAAATGCACATATTTTTTTGAATAACCTAACTTGATTACATAGAATTTCAATACTAATGTGCATATGATCTTTCTTCAGATTAACTGAGATTATTTTTTTTACAATTAAACAAAAGGGTATTCCTCTAATCTCAGCATTTGCTAATATACATACACTAGTTATCAGTTTGTCCTAAAAAAGTATACCAAACACAAAGGTTTTGTAAAAAAACTGAATGGCTAATCCCTAAAAATCTGTTTAAGTATCCTACTCTTCTTAAAGTTCTACAATCCTTGTAGAATATATCTTTAGCAGTGGTTTTAAAATGTAATAATACTCTTTACTGATTTAACTTGTTTTTTCCCAGGTATGTTTTTGGCTGAGATGATTGAGAAGTACTTTGTATCTCCCACACTATTCAGAGTCATCCGGCTTGCCAGGATCGGTCGAATCCTGCGCCTCATTAAAGGCGCTAAGGGAATCCGCACTCTGCTTTTTGCTTTGATGATGTCTCTCCCTGCTTTGTTCAACATTGGGCTGCTGCTCTTCCTGGTCATGTTCATCTATGCCATATTTGGCATGTCCAACTTTGCCTA